TATTTGCTTATATGTCTATGCTGTTTATATGTGTATCATATCTAAACTATGTAAACTATATATTAATATATTTGTACTGTATTTACTTTTTATTTACTCTATATACTTACCACTCTATATATACACTATATTTAGTATACAGTATATTATACTATATGTACTGTATTTACTTTTTATTTACTCTATATACTTACGACTATGTATATACCATATTTGCTTTGTATTCTTTATATACTATATATATACACTATAAATACTATATATACTTTATATACTACATATACTTTATATACTATGTATAGTTTATTTATATATATATATATATATATATATATTTACCTATTTATATAGTCTAGTTTCGCAACATGTGTAAAATATATTCTATATATATATGTGTGTATTTGCAAATATTTACTAAATGGATTATGTGTATACTTTATTTTCTGTATATTTTTGTGCTTACACTATATACGCTATATATACTTTTGACAAAGTAGATATACTATTTGTACTCCATATAGAACTACTTATAGAGTATATATATATATCATTTTCGAATACTATTTATATATAGAATATGTTTTACTGTATAATGTTTTATTAAACACTATTTATTTGCTTTGTTTATATATATATATATATGCACTATACATTTACTATAGACCGTATAGACTCGATATATATATATATGTATGTATATATATATATTCACCATATTTACTACAATCAAATATATAGTTATTGATTAATTACATCCCAACTTCATGCGGGTCACCGCAACTGCCAAGACCAGTCGTCAGGCCTTGGGTTTGGATGATGCCGAGATTCAACCTGCACGTGAGGTCCGAGGGACGCCACAGGTAATGAGGACACGAAGGATGGGTATTTTTTGGGTGGATTTCATGGTTTTATGAATGGAGATACGCTAGGTTTATGGACGTGTGTGGTGGATCTATCCATAGTTCATGGTCCATTTGAGCCATGAAATATCATGAAAGGGCGGATTGGAAAATCAAAAAATGTTGGGATATATGATGTAAAACTGAAGCATCCAAATTGTAGAACAAAATAGGACAAAGGTCCATGTCGGGATTTTGGCATACATTGTATTGTCGCCTCTTTCTCAACATGTGGTACCTTGCATCTTCCGCGGAAGGCTCAGGCTCAAAGTAGCTTGGATAAACGACCGACGATCGATCAATATTTTCAAGGGATCTATATAAAGTGGAAGGTAGACAGCATAACCAACCATGTTTTGTGTAGAGGGATAGATGGGGCCGTGTTGAACTAGACATATTATCAGATACATATACAGTCTGAGACGTATATGATGCATACCTTCTGGTACCCCCTCATCGCAATGGAACACCAGTATTTGTACAACTATTAGTAATAGGTATATTGGATTTAGATGATATCATGATATATCATGACATTGTATTGTTTCACCATCAATATAGAACCATTGTGTTGTGATTTATATATATATATATGATATTATTCTTTGGCTATTTAGCATAGTTATGGAATAAAGGACCCATACAGACATATGATCAATATGATGATTTAGCCATTAAAAAAGTTGGTTTCTATAGCAAAATCGTTCAATAACCAAAGGGTACACGGCAAGAGAGGGGACCAAAATGGAGTTGGTTAGACTAGGCGGTGCCCTTCCATGGTTTGATTTTGATGGGTTTACAAACCCCATGAACTAGTTTGATATTTGGTGGTTCCCATAAATGGGGTAATTACATGTAATTACCCAAAATGGATGGTTTATAGTGAAAAATCCTATTAACATGGATGATTTGGGGGTACCCCCATTTCAGGAAACTTCCATATATGTATCACCAATAAACCCTATTTATTAGTGTTATAAAAAACCAGTTTGGCGAACTATGGGACACCGCCTTGTAGGTGTTTTTCTCCTGGATCCCAGATTTCAGTAGCAACAGCAATGGTTTGACAGGATGTTTTTTTTGTTCACGTTTTTGGACGAAATTTACATTTTGGATAAATCAAAAACGTTTTTTGGGTTAGTGAGGTTCTAATTTTGGCCGGATCCCGGTTTTGACAGCTTCAGTGTAGTTGGACCACGACCTTATTTGGCCTTGTTTTTTTTTGTGTTGTTTGACATTTTTCATGCCGTGTTTTGTGTGTTTTGACATGACCTTCACCTTCATGCTAAGTCGTTTATGTAGTCGGAGGTTTCGTGATGCTACGCGTCTAAAACGTTCTAGGAACTTCAGATACGCTCGTGATGCTACGCTTCTAACCGGTTCTTGGGCCTTCAGACACGCTCGTGATGTTAAGCTCCTAGGAACGTGTCAGCCAAGTGTCTTCCTTGCAAGGTTTTGCAAAGCCGCCAAATAAGTCAGCTGAGACCATGGAAGAAAAAAACCAGTGTCGAGCAGATGATGTGCAAAAAATGCAGTTTTTTGTGAAATTCCAAAACCCTGATTTTCACACCTTATAAGATATCCAAATCGATACAGCGCCACAACGCCAGACACTCTTTTGAGATGTCAGAATGCAGATCGTACCCCGGTCAATAAAGGGTCGTGCACCGTGTAGTTCAATACCATTTTCAGTAGCTAAATTCATGTTTAAGGGCTGGTTGAATCACCGTTTATTGCGAACATGAAATCTCATGTTCTTACTTAAATTTCCCATTTACAGGTTCAATCATCACCTTTTGCTTCTTAAATCGATACAATGTGGCCCCTCCCAGTTATAAGTTGGTTTAGATTCACCCCAGTAACTAGTTTGTTATAAATACCATAAACCATAGTGAAATTGGAGTTATGTGAACCCCAACTTAGCTATCCAGGGGGGGCCTCACATTGTATGTTTGGCTGGAGAAATCCCCAAATCCATTAAGCCGCCATGGTTCACCGCAGCCTGCTGCGTTTGGCCACGCGCCCGGTGGCGAAGCGGGCAAGGATCTTGCGAGGCGAAGGGACCATTGAGACGCCTGCCGGGTTGGCTTCGGTTTGGAGGAGAGAAATCAACGAAAAAGGAACGAAATCGGTAGAAAAAATGGGACATTGGTCAATATCTAATCTGATTGGTGGTCAATATCAATATCATTGGAATATATCTTCTGGTAAACTAACGTAACTGTTGAAAATGGTCCCTTTATAGTTGATTTACCTATTAACAATGGTTATTTGATTATATGACTCAACAGTGATTATAATAATAGTCACAAAATAGTTACCAAATAGTCACTTACTATCCATATAGTTATCTAGTTGGTGGTTTGGAACATGTTTTAATTTTCCATATATCTTGGCAATAATACTCCCAATTGACGAATCTTTTTCAGAGGGGTTGAAACCGCCAACCAGGAACGAATTCAGTAGAAGAAATGGGACATTCTTGAAAATTTGGGTAAACATCTTGGGATTCATTGAAATTTTACTGGAGAGTTAGGAATGATTGAATTTCATTAAATACCGGCTTGTGTGGGATTGGTAACCGAGATAATTGCCATTCACCCGGGGTTTCCGCCCCATGCCTAGCAGATTGATCTAAAAAATATCGAAACATGGCATATTAATACAGGGGTTTTAATCACAAAACAACTATATCCAACTACATAGGGATGATGATTAGATATGCTCCTGGTTTATGGATCAGGTTGATCGTCATCCAGCTGATCATTTTGTTTGATTCTCTCCTGTCACGATAGTTTTGTTTAGTATACCCAATTACCACCATTTCGGGGCAACCCCGGAGTCTTAATCAAGCAGGGTGAATCAGAATCCAACGACATTGGTCAATATCTAATTTACCCTCTGGTAAACGTTTACATAGCTATGGAAAGATCCACCAGGGTAAATCAACTATTTCTACGGACCATCTTCCATAGCTATGTTTGACATAACCAGATGCTAAATATGGTGTGTTTCACTAAAACGACCAAGAACAAAAGGGCCATCCAACGGCCCAAATTTCTGGATCAACGGCGGTTTCTTTCGTCCGATGTTCTTTCCCGGGACGACCCTCAAGTTACCGCAAGTAACCAGCCGGGCTGTCTGCAGTTGCTCCTCAGTTCCAACTTAAGTTGAAGCATCCTCAAGTCATCATTTCTTATATATACATATATATATTTTTAAATATATATATATATATACTATAGTTTCGCTGCAGATAATGGCACTTCACTAGATGATCCCCATTCAGTCATTAGATGTTATAGTCAGATACTAGGTTGGCCCCAGAAGATATAGAAACTAAACTTACCCGACAGGACTGTTAGTGGGTTTGAGAGACCCCAATAAACTTACTTCAACAATCCAATTGAGCAGTGTTTTTTTTTAACCCGGTTGGTTGATGATTGTACTGTACTATCCGTTGTTTTTTGAGACTTGCCATCACCGATGAACTGAGAATTCCCGTTCTTAACCATTTGATGGATTTTGATGGAATGAATGTCATTAATGATTAATGTGGTTGCAGGTATGCACTGCTCAAAAAAATGAAACTGATTTGCTGAAAAGTCACAGGCCTTGACAGTTGCACTGTTAGTGGGTTAGGAGACAACCAATTGTATTTGCTGATGTGTTTTCCATTTATATGGAAAGTGTTCCATTCACTTTTATGATCATTCATATATATATATATTATATTTGTTTGCTGTTGTTTTTCTGTGGATATGGAACCTTATCCATTTAGTTCGATCAAAATTACTCATAAAAGTCTGATTAAATTCATTTTGCAGATTATTCTGATATCAATTCTTCCAAAATGTTCCCTTACCCGTAATACTCGGGAGAAACTTACTGTAAGCTTCAAATACCATTAAATATCATCAAATAACATCAATCATCCATTGAAACAAGCTGACATTTCCTGACATTTCCTGACATTTCCTGGAAACAGCTTGAAATCCCTTTCTTTCCCATGAAACAGCCATTTTGTTCAGCTCGCCACGACGTCTGCTGAGGATGGTCAGCAAAGCCTTGGCGATGCAACGCAGCCGTGACGTCATCCGCATGGAGGCGGTCGGACAGCTGAGCTGGTGAAGGCTTTGTGAAACATGTGAGCTGATATATGTGGTATTATGTGGCATGTATATATGTAATATATATATATATATATGTATATACATACAAGGTGGGCCCCCCTAGATAGCTAACTTGGTTTATAACTTCAATAACTATGGTTTATGGTACTTATAACTATAGTTACTGGGGCTTATAAACCAACAAACATATCTTGGGGGCCTCACATTGTATATATGTACTGTAATATATATATATACATGTCTTTATATACACAATCAGATATGTATAATAAACATATCTGACTGTGTATTTAAAGACATATGTATATATGTATATACATAATCAGATACATATTTGTACTTAGTAAGTTGGATATTGTGGGGTGGTTGTTAAAATGTGTAGGTCAACACATGATTTACTTTACCAGGCCTCCGAGCAACAGCAGTTCCCTATGGAAAATCACCTTTCTTGAATAAGTAAGTAAACTATATACCTGGGTCATTTTCCATAGCTATCATAAATTTCCATGTTCCAGAATTGTCTAAGGGAAAACTATTGGAAGTCACCATATGTGATGGAAACCAAACATCATTTCTTGATGTTTCTTGTAGATGTTGCCTTGAACTAACCAATCTATTGAAACATGCGCTTACTTGTTTTGTTGTGTGTAGACAGATGATGCATGGGTTTGATGCCAACCTCATGTTTAGCCGTGGTTCCTGGAAGTTCCTAGTTGAAAGAGAGTAAAGAGAGTAAAGAGACTATCCTGCTCGAAATTTTGTGGTTGCATGGCCACATGTCAGCCATGGCAAGGGGAATGCCTCTTGTGTTCACAATCATCCAAAGTAACAAACGTGGGTGCACGGTGGTGCTCCCCAATCATGTTTTCTTGTGTTGACCAATAATAACGGCTAAGTACAGATATGTGCATATATATATACAAATACATGCTCATTTGAGAGATTTCTGCTTTCTGAGTGGTTTTTCGCCACATGAGCGTAATTGCACCACCTTTTTGCACTTTGTACATTTTAAAGCCAGAATTATGAGTGTATTTTTCGGGGAAATAAGGGTAAATACCCGAGAAAAGAACGGAAATACCCGTCCGTCAAGAAGCAAATGCACGTTTTCTAGTTCAAGTGAGCATAAAAAGGTATAGAAGAGCGTAAATCCAAGCGAAAACTGCTATGAGCAGAAAACAAGTGCTAAGATCCAGGTATACACAGCATAGATCCTATAGTTATTCATAGTTATTCGTTCGTTATTGTTACACAATCAAGGCCTGTGTTAGGGCGCACCATGGGTTCAGCTTCGTTTTTGTCATTTGGACGATGGGACCCGAGGTCTCGGTATCTTCACCAGACGGCCTGAATCAATAGGCGTTTTAGATTCTGGTAAATTGTTACATAACTAATACAGAACGAACTGGAAAAATCCACCATTTTTTAGCGAAATTCCACTATAAATCATCAGTAACTCAGTATCATTTTTTTTAAACAAATTCCCAGCGGGTAGATTCTCAGTGTTGGATCCCAAGTGAAACACATTTCTATTGGCGAAACTTCCGACTTGAGTGACCTTTGATATATGTCACGCCTGGCAGCTTCAATTGTGACTCTGTCGGATAAAGAAATGATGCTCTAAATAGTATGATATACAGATATACACTAAACACATGTACTTGAAGCCACAGAACTAGTATGATTTCCTCCGTTGTCCAAAGAGAAACTACCATGAGGATTGGTTAACCTCCATTTCTCTGGCTACGCTAGCAACCTCCGATACGTGATTGTCATTTGATGGAATTGGTCCTCATGTTTTATGGCTTCTGTTTGTTCCTCCTGCCTGACTCCTTTGCTGGAGTTAACTTGGATGTGCCAAGTTGTTGAGTCGTCTTCATAGATCCTCATGTTAGTGTGGGATAAACATCACGTGTCTTGTTTCCAAGACTAGTCGTTAAAGGAGAAGTATCCAAGTGAAAGATGATGCGGTTAGAGGAACCTAGGGAACCATATTTCTCATACTGAATTCATGTTTAATTTGCAGGCTGAATTACCCCCACCCACCCCGACTCGATCTTGAGTCACCATTCCAAGTCCACGTGTTGGTTGTTTTGAGCCACCTTTCTTGCTCATACTGACCCACATTTTGGGATGGATTGCACACTAGAAAGGATACAAATTTGTGGGTTCATTATGCCATTGGTAGCACAATTCTGAGTCATTCCCATCTTAAAACGGAGTGTACCACCTTGAAACGAGCATTTTTTGGATTTGGAACCTGGTTTTTATCACCCCATCAACCCCATCTCCCGAGAAACCTACATGAATTGTATCAGTCGCCGCAGGTGGGCGATCCAGACTTTGAGACACCCAGTCATATCACGGTCTGGAGCCTTGAGGGCCTTGGGGGTTGCAGTGCATGTTGCGATGCAAAGCTCGAGCTTTGCTTATCCGGTGGATAGGAGGGAACTGAGCAGGTATGGGTATGAATCAGTATAGAAAAAGACACGATCAGAAAGAGTTTCCCAAGCGTATAGATAGTTGTGGAACTCAGATTTTCATTTTGCAATTTTCGATGTCGAAATGGGCGAAGACTGGGACCATACTTTCGTGGCTGATAGTAGGTCTATAGCGCAGCACCCATGTGGTCAATGGTTTCTAGGGCAAAAGCGAACATATCCGTTTCATGAATTCTAGTCCACACGCATTTCCGGATACTATACTTGTAGGGCACCAATCCTAAAGCTACCATACTCTATGTGAAGTGAAGATATATGAATTTCAAGGATGTAGACGGAGGTCTCCACATAGGCTGCATACCAGGATATCTAGGATTTGTGCTTGCCACCAGCCCTCAGGTTCATGACATAAAAGTTATAAGATCAAAGCCATGAGCTGCATTGATGTCACTCATCTCCGAGCAAGGGGTACCTGCAGCAGATGCACAGATGGCAAATTGAGAATTTGTGGCTACAATGTGAGGCCCCCAAGATATAAGTTGGTTTATAAGCCGCAGTAACTATAGTTATAAATACCATAAACCATAGTGACATTGGAGTTATGTTCGCCAACTTAGCTATCGTGGCCGGGGGCCTCACATTGTATGGTTGCTATGGTCTGAAAGAGTCCCATCAGAATCCTAACGAGGTTTCCCCTCTGGATTTGATGATTAATATTTGCTGTTACCATCAACGAAGAGACAGATGTACTAAACTGGAATGTATCAAACATGATAAAAACCCAGTTGAATGATAATGTCCATTATCTTTGGAATTATTATGGATGTTGTCCAATATGTTGAATGATGTCTTTTGACAACATCTTTTGGAATTCCTTCTGAACCCCCAGGTATACCCATCCCTCCCAACGCATGCCGCATGGCGCGCATGGCGCGCATGGCGCACTGTGGGCCGTGGAGTCCTGGACGATGAGCGGAGCTGGAAAGGCCTCGGCCTTTCTGCGACTTGGCACCGGGTTCATCCGGTCGGCGGAGACGGCGGTGTTGAAAGACGGCCGGAGAGTTTCAAGAGGATTGGCCCCAAGAATTGGGACACTTGGGATGAAAAAAACTTTGTTTGTTCGTGCGAAAAACAGCGAAGGCGAAAGAAATGAATGACAGATGCCAGTACTATTGAACGATTCAGAACAAAAGTAAGAACGATGGAATCCGGAACACCACAAATTGTATCAAAATGTCAAATAACCATATAGATAACCAACACTTCGTAACATAGTGATTTCAGTGGCATCTCCAGGTGCCAACATGGGCCAACAAGGCCTCAGCTATTCGCCGTGTTGAGGACCGTGGATCAGCCAGTGTTATCAGCAGCCACACGTGCAAAACGGACTGCCAACGTGGGCATGTGTCGCTTGGTGGAGAACAAGATGCCCACAATGTCCCCCGAGATTTATACATTGGTTTATGTATGTTGAAAAACTGTAAGAACTTTAGGATTTGTCCTAGATATGTTTTGAATTTAACTGAATTTCTACATTAATATTGAATAATATTTACATTAATAATATGTGTGATTTTATTTGCATTTTTGTTATTATACACGCTCCACTTTCTGTGCAAGCCATGGATTGGATGCCAAAAGAACACAGCGATCGATGGAGGCTGTGCAGAGGCTCATGGTAATGTTGTACCACTGCAGTCGGCTTTGCAGTCGATGAGCATTGACCGTAAACGCGTTGTTTCCATATGGGTTTGTCTGAAAATAGGGTATATTTCCAATTATAGCCATTTAATAGGGATAATGATCATTAACCATTGGGTTTAGGGGTACACTATTTTCAGACACACCCATATCCTATAATGACTCTGCAAGATTAGGACAATCGTTACGCAAGTTTAATCTTCTTATCCAACTCATGGCGTTGTTTTCAGTGCGTGTAGACCTTACCACATAAACGGACCATGAGGCAAGGTTGGGGAGGTACCAGTTGGATATAACCGGAGTCGAAGCCCATTTGCTAAATAGTCACTGACGGGGGACTTAATCACCCATTGTGGTGAGTAGACGATTTTGGTTGGATATTCTTTCGCTGTACGTACGTTTTAATTGTAAACTGTTTTGCTTGGAGATCGTCTACAAACAAGCTGCAAAGATTCATTGGTAGAATCGGTACTTCTCTGCATACGTTTGATGGCTAAATCCCCCATGTTTCACTGTTGATGGTAAAATCTTGTGAAATTATGGTAAATTAGTGGTAGATTATTTCCCAATATAGCAACATCCCACAGCTCAAAGGTGATGGAGTGCTAGGAGATGAACGAATACATGTGACCGTTGATGCTGAGAACAAGCAACTCGGCTGTATTTCCCACATCCAGTGGTTCGATCATCATTTTCTACAAAAAAACACATTTTTTGTGCCAGGAGCATACTCCATGTTCACACACACAACATGTCTATCTCAAAATGATATATAGTTCGTTTCTTAGGGCTCCGGTCAGAGCTGGCAGCAGCTGGTTTCAAAAGGTTCTTTTTCTATGTATCTCTTCAAACTATAGGACGCGTAGGATGACGCAGGCCCGTTTATGGATGCCCACCCAGCAACACTGGATTTGGCTGGAATGTTAGATCCCCATTGCAAAACTGGTAGGGGTGGTATCAGTCGCCATTTTGAGTTTTAGACTGGAGTTTCATCCCGGTCTTTCAACTCTTCTACCGGGCATAGGTTCTAGCCTCACAGTTGTTTGTGTATTTGCTTAAAGATATATGGTTTTCATAGGTCAACTGGGTCATAGCAATGCTTACTAAATGTACTAAACCACTATGGGTAAAACATAGCTGTTGAACATTGCCCATTTATAGTTGATCTACATTTAAAGGTGGTGATTTGTTTACCAGATGGTATTTTCATGTATTTTCACCATTAAATCACCCTTTTCCACCTCGTGAAATCACAATGTTTCACCCATTCTTGTGGGTAGACCCTTGGAAATCCACCCTATCTTCAGGTTTCCAAAGTCATGGGGGTATCCCAAGATATCATCCATTTCTTGTTCAGATCTTCCATGATTTTCCAACCATCCAGTTGGGCCCACGGATGATCGATGCCGCCCCATTTGATCCACCAGGCGCTCCCTGTTACTGGACGGCCCCAGCACCAGTGGCTTCGTGCAGTCCCAGCTGCGCTGCAAAGGGAGCCCGGAGCTCTTCATGGGCAGTTGCTGGGCCAATGGCCATTTCACCAGGGTGGAACGTGGTGAAACATGGTGAAACATGAGGGTTGCTCCAAGCAGGATAACTGGTTAACTGGTTGGTGGTTTGGAACATTTGGATTCTTTTTCCATATATTGGAAATAATAATCCCAACTGACTAATATTTTTCAGAGGGGTTGAAACCACCAACCAGATAAGATATTTGGTTTTTACGATGGCCAGAGAGGAGCATGGGCCATTCTAGCTGTATATGTTATGCCAATTCTCCAGCTTGTATTTATGCTGTAGATGGGGTGTTGGGAACAGCCATGAAGGGATCGTCATCGTGGGACCTTCATATCAACAACATAAGGATTGAACCAGTAGAAAATTGATCGTTGTGGAGTTAGTTGATAAACAAAAACGGGATTCCAGCTCAAAATTGCAAGATCAGGCAGCAAACAGGAACATGTCAAAATTCAGTTGCAATACTTAGGATGTTTACCACGAAACAATGCGGATTTCAGTGAGACATTAAGAAGATGATCGGAACTATTTGGAATTTGTCCCACAACAGATTTTGATTTCAGCAGGGTGTGACAAGTTTTAAGCAGCAAAGAATCATCCAGCCCGTGGCAACATCATAAGCATCACAACCATGATGTTTAACACATCACCAAGAAATATCAGCAAAATTACCCTCTGGTAAACGTTTACATAACTATGGAAAGATCCACCATTTTGTAGCTGGGTAAATCAACTATTTCGACTGGGCCATTTTCAATAGCAAACTGTGAACGTTTACCAGAGGGTATGGTGCCAACGATCCTTGGGTCCTTCAGGTTGTGACGATCCATTGATCCGAAAAGCTTGGCGCTGCGAGCTTCCTGAGCCGCTAGAGCTGAGCGAGGCCTTTCCCTACGTGGCGGCCATCCTGCGAAGGATGGAAGGATGTCGGAAGCATCCCATGAAGGTCTTGTTGCTGGGTACCTTGGTGGCTGTGGGGGGGATACTTTTTTTGAATCTGGTTGGTGGTGACTGGAACATGTGGATTATGACTTTCCATATAGTGGGAAGAATAATCCCGACTGACCAATATTTTTTCAGAGGGGTAGTTTTACCACCAACCAGTATGGAATTATAACCATGTTTATATATATATATGTGTTTTTTATGGTTTGCTTCCATGATAGATGTACTGGGATACTATGATTACTATGGGATTCTTCCATTTTGATGAGGTATAGATGGGCAGTTTAATGATATGATGGGGGTATGAAAACCTCGTACTCCCATTTTTCGGGGTTTGCTTCAATTCATGGGGCTATAGACGTTTCAACCATTCCGATGGTACATAATGTAATTGTAATGCCGTAATACCCTGTATGGTGGCCAATTCTGCCATAGCGATGTCGCAGCTTCACCTGGGATGGCAGGGTTTAGAAAATGGAGACCTTGTGTCATTTAAGATGGTGGGATGTTCCTAAAAATGGCGTCTGGTGGACAAGTTAGGTACCCGCAATTTCAAGCACCGCTGATTCGTGGTTTCAATCTTACTATGTTCTGCAAATGAACAATTTTCCCCAGCAAGGTTCAGTCACTTCAGTCCCCATATTCCATGTGCCCTCTGGTAATTTGTTACAGTTTGCTATTGAAAATGGCCCATAGAAATAGTTGATTTTCCCAGCTACAAAATGGTGGATCTTTCCATAGTTTTTTGTTAACGTTTACCAGAGGGTATCCATTCATGTAGGTCACATTTTCCAACGTAGCAGCAGCAGTTGGATACGTGAACTTTTCCCATCCGAAAACCGCCAAAGTTTGGGGATGTTCAGTTCATCGTTGGTTTGGGGTTGGTTATAGAGGTTATTAAGAGTTTTTACCATATACATTATAGATGTACATAGATTTATATAGAATTATCTAGATATATCTAGATAATTCTAGATATATCTAGATTTTTTAGATTTATATAGATTTATTACCATATACACTATAGATTTATGGCCACTAACCTATATCTGCAAGGTCTGGGTGGTGGCACCATGCAAAGCTACCTGGACGCCACCTGTCCTGCGTCGCAGCTTCTCACGGTGGAAGCCTCTCCTGGAGTGCTCGAGGCGGCCAGGCGCTTCTTCGGCTTCACCGGTGGCGCGGCGAAAAAGTCAACGGAAAATCATGGGATATGACCCATGGATATGGCCCGGAATACCAGTTTTTTTGGGAACTGTTATAACCCCATAAATTGGAGTTATATATGATAAACCGATTTATGTTATAACATAGTATAAGCCTATATTTATAGCCATTGATAATCAGTTATAACTGGTAAACGACCTGAACTGGATATGTGAAATGGAACATGATGGAACATCATGGAACGATTTAACCCATGATAATCTACGGATTTAGCATGATTCAAACGTTAGGATCATACAAAAAAAGTGTGGTTAGATGGGATGATAACCTCAGCTTGGCCGTGGGTTATAAAGGGATGCATTAACTGGAACTGGGCTGAATAAACACTGCCAGGATGGACTTTTTGTTCAAAAAACGATGAACATTGGACATATTGCACATGTGTGATAATGAAATTGATGCTTAAGTCCCCGTATTTCACATTTTTTTCAAGGTTCTATCAGTTCAATCCCCATGTGTCACATTTTTTGGTCAAAATTTCCAATGTTTCACCAGCAGTGCTTTCGCATCACTTCAAAAATCCACATCTTTCACCATGATTGCAGTGTTTTTTCACCAGCTTTGATGGTGAAACCATAGTGAAACGGTGTTTTCCTCCCAACTTCCCCAGGGATTCCAGGGGATCTCAGGCCCGGTGCACCTGAGCGACGCGCGCCTTGCGTTGTCCCAGCTGGTGTCCGAGCAACGACGCTTCGACGCCATCGTGGTGGACATCGCGGATACGGTGCTGGACAGGTCGGATGTGGAGCATTTGCACCTTGGATGTAGTGGAATTAATGGTGGAATTAATGGTGGTATTAATGGTGGTATTAATGGTGGAATTAATGGTGGATAATGGTGGTATTAATGGTGGAATTAATGGTGGAATTAATGGTGGAATTAATGGTGGAATTAATGGTGGAATTAATGGTGGAATTAATGGTGGAATTAATGGTGGAATTAATGGTGGAATTCATGGTGGAATTAATGGTGGAATTAATGGTGGTATGAATGGTGGTATTAATGGTGGAATTAATGGTGGAATTAATGGTGGTATTGATGGTGGTATATCATATGCTCCTGAATTGTTCTTGGAGAGAGGGCTTCATATTGAATAGGAATGGTGGTATGACTGCGATTCTAGTATTAGTGATGTAATAATATAGTTCTAAATATATATATATATATGTATGAGTCAAAACCCATTATTACTATATTACTGCGATTGTAGTGCTATTACTGGAATGGTGATGGGTCAAAACCTCCTATTACATGTTTTTTAATCATATTTTGGGGAATAACTTAACCATCCACTCACTAGTTACTTTAGGGTACCAAGGGTAGCAGGGTTTTGACCCGTAACCATTGAACATTTCAAATTACGTACACCTAGTATTTTTTTTGAATAGGGATCTTAATGGGATGATACATTGAATACAAATATGTATGAACATATGCTGGTATGAATGGTGGTATTGATGGTGGTATATCATATGTTACTGATTAGTTCTTGGAGAGAGGGCTTCATATTGAATAGGAATGGTGGATTTACTGGGATTATAGTTCTAGTGACTGATATATATATATACATATATATATATATATCATCTTGGAATTTACGCCACCATTGTGAAACATTTGAATGTCATGGGATTATTGGTGGATTTTGTATGTTCACATCATTGATTTACCCTCTGGTAAACTAACATAACTATGGAGAATCACAATTTTTTCATCGGTATATCAACTATAAATGGCAATTCTCCATAGCTATGTTAGTTTACCAGAGGGTAACCGTTATTGATATACGGATGCTTAAGTATAGTTCGATTTGTCCTTGGAGAGATGGGCAAAACCATGACTTGGTCTACATCACCCCTTTGCTAGGAGTATAGCCAATTTCATAAACCTCAAGTGGGGATTGGGATGCTCCCCTGGGAAAAAGTTTGTTGGTTTTTAACTCCATTAGCTGGTTCGATATATATATATATATATTATATAGATATACATATATGTGTATCATAGACCCTAGTTGGATTTATGTTTGCCAAGCTAACAAACTGGGGCACCATCTTGTATTAGATGGTGGGTAGAGGGGTTTGCAGTCTCTAAACAATTTCTGGTGCTACATGAGGCGACTACTGAACCCAATCAATTTTAAATGGTCAATACCAACCCATTTCTTGTGATATTGGGGACTGTGTATTATCTAGGTCAATCTGACATGGATACATACTAATCCTTTAGTCTTTTGGTCTTAATGGGAATATCTACGTTCACCAGCAAAGAATTTGTCATTTTGTGCAGGGTATGTAAGATTGGCAATGTTATTGGGTTTACCCTACCTCATATCATTGCGCCCCAGATCCGAAGATCGTGGAATTCACCATGAAACACCCTGATGTCACTCTCAACGAGAACGGATTTAGCCAATGGATCTGAAGAAAGAAACACTGAATGATGGGATTATCTATAGAACATGCGTATTATTCTCTATGTTTTCCAAGTATCATCTGAGGAAGTATTTGGGGTATGATTTGGGGATGATTTTGTTCCCTCAACAATATTAGTATTATTTCGATACGTGGATATGTGTTGAAGAATCATCATGGTAAACTTAATTGTAAACCAGTATCATGTGGAAAAACCTTTCTCAACTATCTCTAACTTTACCAAAAGGATTATAAAGACTTGCACCCTGAAGGAGAGATCGGCAAATTAGGAGGGGCACATGGGTATCAGGGAATATCATGGAATTTCCTCTCGTGGCAAGGCAGCTTGCTTATGAATGAACGGTTATTGTATGTTCTGAACCTCTTAGTTCAGAACTGAGTAGCGTGTTTTTTCTGGGTGCAGAAAAGTAGATAAAGTGGGAACTCCATAAGATGACATATGATGCCGCAGACGTAGGTTCCCATGCAGACGGCGTAGGTTGCGTAGGCATTGGCGTAGGCTCATTTTAACCTACACCGCGTAGCCTTTGTGTAGAGACCCGTTGGCACAGTTAGAACTCATTCATTTTGCCTTGGTTGGTCTTGATATTTGTGGCTTGTGGTGCCAAAGCGTCATGCCACAATTGAAAACAACAATAAACCACAGCCGCGTAGGCAAAGCCTACACCGCGTAGGCTCGTGAAGGCACCCCTGAAAAACCATGCCCCGCGGCTACATCATGCAATGGCGTAGGCTCGACGCAGACAGTTGCATAGGTTATAGCTTGCTGATCATCGAAAGACAAGGATTAAAATCACTATACTCAATTTGTTTCTGTACAATGTGAGGCCCCCAAGATATAAGTTGGTTTAGATTTGCCCCAGTAACTATATAGTTATAAATACCATAAACCATAGTTATTGGAGTTATAAACGGCTGGTAAGATTCCACCTGTTGTCCCTTGTGCTGTCCAGCCAAGGAATACCTTGCTGAAAGATGGCGGTCTAGTGCTTCACAATCACACCAACCAGCACAAAATGATGGAGCAACTCGACACCTTCAGGACTTGCCCCCTATAGGATGGCGAATGGGAGAAAGCTTTGAAAGATAGCTGGAAAGCCATGGTTGAAAAACCAGTTCAGCGATGTGAAAAGCGCCCACCATGGCCTCTCTACATATTGCTGCTCCAATATGACTCATGACCCAAAAAACCTCGCAGGAGTATCTTTCCAGATGCGCAGCAGCAGTCCTTTGAGGGTGGCAATGTGCTCATGTCCTACACCAAGCATGGACCTTCGCAGATAGCGATCCAAAGCTGAGATCGGGACCAAAAAATTGCGTTTTGCGCTGCGTTTTCTGTGTCTGCAAGGATACCAACCTGAGGAAATTATCGAATTTGTCACCACCTCAAGGATATGTTGACTCCAGGAAAAGTCGCCTCTTCAACTTGATGATTTTTCAATATGTTTCACTATTTTCCCAGCAAACGTTGTGATCCTGAAGGTTGCAATGTTGAATTACTAGAGTGAATACATATTTGATCGACATACAGAACCTCTCAGGTTTTAAACGACAAACGACAAACAACTTTTTTCGAAGATTGTTTGGCAGCTGATGATTTGTGATAATTTACCTGACTACGGGCTCAACGATGAATGGTTCAACACATGTCTTTGCAGGCTCCATTTGTGCACGATTGGTACGCATGTCTTGTTGCTCCGTATCTACAGTTGATGGTTTCAAATGTATTCCAATATCGTCCATTTGTGTCCATGCCAAGACATGAAATGATTATTCCACGACTAACATCGAGCCCACACCGCTGCACCCTTTTTCGGAAAGGTCAACCTATAGGGTCAAGGCACATATTTCAGGGTTGCTCCAACCCATGATAGCTGATTAATAGATACATCATGATACGTCAGCTACAACGGGTCTATTTTATCAATATTAGATATTCATATTTACTCTCATGTTCATGGGTATATATATATATCACAATGAAAGATATTCCATGATAGATACTCGTCTGTTGCCTCTCTATCTACCCGTTTTACCCTCTGGTAATTTAACATAGCTATTGAAAATCACCATGTTTAAATATGTTTAATAGGTAAATCATATAGATGGACCATTTTCAATAACTATATGTAAAATTACCAGAGGGTACATCGTTTTACAAGCCATCCGGGCTCTCAGCCGAGGCCAGTGCCATTTCAGCCCTCCAAGCGGGTCAGACCCATTACGAGGCCGGACACCGTGGACACCGCGGACACCTGGGTCATTTCGGCAGGACGTGTTGGGAAATCTTGGGAAACTCTGGTGGTTTCTTTTTCACCAACGGAGATCTGGTAATCTGCTCCGCTATGGAAAGTATTTTCGGCAATTGATGTACCAATGGGCCTTCTATGGCCTTCTCAAGAGCTATTACCGGAGGCTAGCCAGATCAGATAAATTATGATAAATTAATGGGTAGTAAATATCCTTACTATTGGCGATAGACATTTAGGGGTACCCGATTTACACCCATACCCCAACAGCTACGAATTGGAGCCTGGACTCGGCTACAATGATGGGTGCCTGGGGCCCCAAGTGCCCGTTCATGTGGCCTTTAAATCCCTGTGTGTCTCTCATCCTATTTAACCCCCAACCCATAGGATCCATGTATGGTATATATGCTAACATTTGGGGTATATTGATGGGATCCATGTTACCATATATAGCATACATGGATCCTATGGGCAATAAAAACACATACTTGGGCTACAGATACTGGTTGGTGGTTTGGAACATTGTTTATTTTCCATTTCATACATGGGATGTCATCCTTCCCATTGACGAACTCATATTGTTCAGAGGGGTTCAAACCACCAACCAGATAAGTTAATCACTATTAATCACTATTAATGACTATTAATCACTACTTGGGCTACAGATAATATGGAGGCCCAACATACTGTTGGGGATTTTTTTCGTCGCAAACTGTGACCAGCCACACCGTGCTGTCGCAACTGTCGACGGACGGGCGCAATGATGTGCCGTTTTTTTTGACAGACTCGGTGGAAGCACCTGATGATCAAGCAGTACAATGTGAGGCCCCCGTTCGATAGCAAAGTTGGTGAACATAACTCCAATGTCACTATGGTTAATGGTATTTATAACATGTTATAACGAACAAGTTACTGGGGCTTTTGCTAAACCAACGTTCACATATCGAACGGGGGCCTCACATGGTACGTATCAGTAAATGTCAATGGACTCATGACACGGTTGCACAACAGCCGAGCGTTCACAGAATCACTTAAGTGGTCCTTGGCTGGTTGTAGTGTATGAAAGTGTATACAATGTACCCGGCCTGGTAAATGAACATAACTATGGAAAATCACCATCTAAAAAATGGGCAAACTGACTATAAATGGCCATGTTCAATAGCTATATGTTAAATTACCAGAGGGTATGGCTCAAATGATTAACATTGTTTATTTTCCATAATATATGGGATAATCCTTCCCGTTGACTAATATGTTTCGAGATGGTTAAAACCACCAACCAGATACAAATGGTTGAGTACTTTTTGTTCTGTCACACCAGCCCGGTTCGGGCCTCACCGGGCCTAGGCCGCTGGGGGCTCTCCAGGGCTGCGAAAAGCGGTGGCAAACCATTTGGAACGCAGCAGGCGGGAAGATGACTGGTTGGTCTTAAATATTGGATAATATCGGACTCTAATACTGGTTGGTGGTTTGGAACATTTCTTATTTTCCATAATATATGGGATAATCCTGATTGGTGGTTTGGAACATGAATTTTATTTTCCCCAATAGTTGGGATGATGATCCAATCTGAATTTCATATTTTTCAGGGGGTTGAGACCACCAACCAGATAATATTGATAATGTTCTAGGTCAATCTTACATGGGTACTTTAATCCTTTAGTTTGTAGTCTTTGGTATTAATGGGAACATCTACGTTCACCAGCAAAGAATTTATCATTTTTTGCAGGGTATCTAAGATTGGCAATGAATATTGGATAATATCGGACTCTAATAGGTTTGTAGACCCACATGATCGAAGGTTTGTAATCAGAACCACATTACATATATATATATATATCAAATATGTGTTGAAGGCTTGGAAGTTCCCCATCCACAGGACAAATCACATCTCCAAGATAAATACGACCTCTGCAAGTGCATCATATGTGATCCATACAGGACAATGACAGTGACCCAACAAACATGAGAAGTCAGATTGTTGGGATATGATTGGTTGTATCCGACAGCAATGGGTTTACAGTTGTTTGCGCAATTACATACCAACAACTATCTGAAAATGATGAGGTTGTGGCAGCCAATCACTAATTGTTTAAGTTTTTCTTCACCAGTAAAATTGATTTATCAGCCATTTTTTCAAGGGATGATTATACTCAATTGGTGCAGTTTATGGGGGTCGCAGATCTGTTTGCAGCCATGATGGGGGAGACTTGCCATGAAATCGCTGAACTCGTCGCTTCAATATGTGGCGTGTCATTTGCCGCCACAGATGAAACCATTTATATTGACATACATTGCCTGTAAATACATTTGACATATTCGATCATGTACTATGTGATTCAAACGCGTTGAGTCAACTATTCATATTGTGTGTTCATATTACAGTATATTAAACTTATGCCCATTATACTGGGTATATATTAATACTGTATGGGTATAATTAGTACTGTATGGGCATAATATGGGTATCTGAAGGAAGCAATATGGGTATTAGTATATTATATTAATCATACAGTATTAATTATTGCTTCAGTATATTAATCCATTTAAATTTACTACTATAGCCCATATTATAGTATATTAGTTACTGTAAACCCCTTCAGATACCCACATTGCTGGCATTTTGTCTATACATTGGAGGCCTGGGCTGAAGGCAGATCCGGACCAGGCGGGAAGATTTTCCGAGAAATGGTGAGGTTGGAAAATCACTGGAAAATCACTGGAATGATACTTAAATGATTGGATAGAAATGAGTGGAATGGTTGTGTTTTGGTTTTCGTTGTTCTAAAGATTTCTATCATCACTGGGATTTCCGATCATTTCCTGTGCTGATGTTGGGCATGTTCTGCTGGGAAATCTCCACGGTGGTTAACCAAATCCAAAGGTTTGAGGTTGGACATGCTTTTTGAAGCCAATCCAAATGATACCATCTGGTTATTTAACATAGCCATGGAAAATCACAATTTTTCATAGGTAAACCATCTATAAATGGGCCATTTTCCATGGCTATGTAACAAATAACCAGTACAACATGAAGACAAACGAGGTTTTTCACAAGTTTTAAGTTTTCTCCAAAACCCTTTGCAAAGGCTTGGAGTTACAGGGTGAGCCCCATTTTTCGAAGGGGTGGGTTAGAAGATGAGTTTTCTTCATCACTGGTGTCCTTTCCCCTGGGATCCTTGGAGCAAGTGGTACCCGGTGCCAGCAAAATAGCGACTGGATTTATGGATGCTCATCCGCCGTTAGGTCATGGAGTCATGGTATACTTGATTTTGATCCATCCCCATTTATAAGAACCCCCTACAATGCTTGAGAATTGCAGAATTGAATTTTATTCATCCAAACAAGAGACCAGTGCCAATATCATTCAGGCCGGTAAGTGGCCCCAGACGGCTCCAATCGTCAGGTGCTTTGCATGCCTGGTGGTAAACCAGTGATTTTCCATACCATCGCTGCACTTTGTGAGGACGCAGCCAACTGCCTGCTGTTTTTTTATTCTTAGAGCGAAGAGTAGACAGATACCAGGAATTTGCGAATAGCTATAGGTCTATGAACATTATTTTCCAAATGGTGAGATATAATTGTGCTGTCAATACTTGGGTAATGTTGGGTACTTGCAGGGTGGAAAGCATACAACTGCCCAGTGCGTTGATTTTACGCAGGAAGGAGACGAGGCGGGGTGCTTCGGCGACGAAGCAACTTGGGACCATCCAAGTGTTGGGGGGTTTAGAATGTTCAGGTGGTCTGGACAGAGTATCTATCCATATATATATATATACAATTTTAAAATATTATATATATATAATTATATTTGCATATAAGTAGATTGAATATCAAATTTTCAATCAGATTGCGGTTTGTCCGAGGATTTTTTGATGTATATATATATATACGTACAATTGATATACACTACACTACACCAATTGCACTACACTAATTGCACTACTCTAAATACACTGCACTCATTGCACTAATTACCCTACAGCTACAACTCAAATACTTCTACAGCAACAACTACACTACGCTACACTACACCACACCACCCTACACTACACTATAACTACAACTACAACTACACTAGATTGCGCTACAACTACAACTACACTACACTACACTACACTACATCCAGCAGCTGTGGGTGACGTGATCACTGCAACCACTCCAAAAAGCACAGCTCCAACTACCTTTCGGTCCATCAGTGGATTCGCTCTGCCATCCATGCACGACAACAATGCACCTATAGTTTCCTATCTTTGAAACTTTATAAACTTCCGCCACCGCCTTGCGCAATACTACTGGTCATCAAGATGAATCATCATGATACATCAGGTGACAATATTCCCTAATGGTTCTGGCCTTCTTCCCTGAAACGCATTCACTTTTTGTGGTGTTCCATGGGTCCAAGAGGCTGCACCCTTGGCAGGTGATTTATCCCAATCCCGGCTTCCCAGCCTACGACGCTGGGTGATGCGTTGCTGCCGTGGCCATGTTGGTACCACTGGTGTTGGAGGATCATCCAAGGAATTGAAAGTGCTGAAGACGCATAATCAATTGTATATATATATATATGTACACATTTACACATAACAGTATAATATATATATATATATATATATACAACTAACATATCGTGTAATAGATTGAAGCGACGGACATTGATTTAGAATATATGTTGGACAAATAGAAACCACATATGTTACAGTAAGGGGCCGTTCGAAGTACTGGGAGGAGGGTAAGGGCCACACTTAGAGCATAATCCACACTCAGAACATCATCCACAGGTCTAACATAAAGTACATGTATACATCAATGATATATACATGTATGATTATATATATATAGACATATTTATTTATATATATATATATGTATACACAAAGTATATAAAGATTTCGGTTTGGGTAAACAAAACAAAATGTCTCCTGGGTGGGTTAATTCCCATCCCCAGAGATCCTGTGCCATCTTGGGCTGCAGGTGATACAGTACAGATTGTACACTACATGGAGATTTCCTGAGATATTCAGGTGCCCCTAAATCATCCATTTATAGATGGATGTTCCATATAGAGGAAATCTCCATATAGTAAATGTTCACTCATCTATAATCAGATGTTCCATTGTAAATTAACTATTTGGGGGTACTCTCATGGCTATGGAAACCACCGACCATATGTTTGTGGCTGACCCAACGTTCCCAGATTCCTGGACCTTCAAGGAACAATAGTTATATAGTGCTAGTTACCATCATTTAAACCACCATGAAATCACCATTGTCATTAAACCACCATTAAACCACCACTAAAAATCATGATTATATATATATACATACTCTCTGGTGGTTTAACCTAGCCATGGAAAATGACCCATGTATAGATGGTTTACCTATTAAGAATGGTGATTTTCTATAGCTACGTTAAATATCCGGAGGGTATATGTAAACATATATTATGTTTGCTTTGTCGCAAAAAAACAACAAAACAACAACAAAACAACTTGAGTTTCAGATTCAGTGTCGGTAGTTGTTTGTCCATTTTCGGACAGGTTAAACCTCCATTGTTTGAGACAAACTAGACCAAATGTTTGATTGTTTGTCACATTTTGTTGCTGGTAAATTTATGTTGTTCCATCGGTACTGCAAATCTTCCTTTTGGGTGGTAAAACTCGTGTAAAACCCATCATTTTAAATCGGATAATGAAGACATCATTTATATAGCCCTTCATTTCAAAAAGACAAATCCATCGAAAACCCATGATTTGTTTATTCTGTTTTACCATTTTTTACGGCATTTTACCGTGTTTTTCCAGATCCTGGGGCTTCGCTTAGGAAACCACCATCGAGTGGAGCGGCGCCACAGCAGTGCCCTTGCGCCTAGATGAGTCGACAGGCTTCCGCTTCCGCCATGTGCCTTGGCCTGGGCCATGGTGGTTTGGAACATGAATGGATTATGTTCCATTTCATATATGGGATGTCATCCTTCCCATTGACGAAGTTATATTTTTCAAGATTGCTATTGCGCCACCAACCAGGAGTAATCCCAACTGACTCCTATTTTTCAGAAGGGTAGTTATACGGGCAAACACCTCGATTTGCCCGCGCTTGTCGGCGGCCATCTTCGTATGTGCTGAAAAGGTGGTAAAAATGGGAGTTTTTTGCATCATGGCTAACTTAATGTTGTATATCGGCACGCACAGCATAGGGACCTGTGCGAGTCTCTTACACATCATCATCATCATCATCATCATCAAACCCTTATTGAAGATCTTCAATGAATGTAGACGTTTAACGGGGGTGGGAGAACTAAACCCATATTTAAGATCTTCAATGAATGCAGAAGTTTAACGCGGGTGGGAGAATTAAACCCTTATTTATCTTCAATGAATGTAGAAGTTTAACGGGGGTGGTAGAATTAAACCCTTATTGAAGATCTTCAATGAATGTAGAAGTTTAACGGGGGTGGGAGAATTAAACCCTTATTGAAGATCTTCAATGAATGTAGAAGTTTAACGGGGGTGGGAAATTTATATTCCCTAAATACCCTGGTTGATCTTCCCAATTGAATGTAAAGTCTAACGTTTGATATCCCCAAGTGTACAGCATAGAAGGGGTGTGGGCGAATCGGGGTGTTTGCGCGTAGTTATACCATGGTATACCACCAACCAGCATTTTCCATGGTGATTTCATGGTGGTTTAAATGATGGTAACTATAGCACTATTTTATGATGTTTGAAGAATGATTTAGTGATGAAATGGTGATTACGTAATATATGTTTACATATCACATATAATGACAAGATGAATTATGTAATGGTATATATATATATATATGTGTATTAATGGTGGTTTAATAATGACTACTGGGCAAATCATAGTGACCTCACTGTGACCTCACTGGAATTATAGTTAGTAAAAGGAAATCATCACCAATTTCAGGGCAGTGAAATTTAGCAACATTTACCCAGATGATTTAGTGGTGATTTGAATGAAAATTCATGACACTTAAATCACTTAATGGTGATTTCATGGTGGTTTAATGGGGATTTACTCTTCAAAAGCAATGTTGGTTGATGATGACATGTGTTTCTTTCCACAGTTTTGACCCGCCCAGGATGATCTGCGACGCTTGGTCTCACCTCGTGCCTCGTGTCTCTGAACATGGGGTATGCCCGCAAAATGCGAAGTTTCTATGGAATTTTTATGGTGATTGGATGAATGGATGAATTGAATTTCTATGGAAAAACCTAGGGTTTCTATGGAATTTCTATGGGAATTTTATGACCTCGGATGATTTCTGAATGGTGATTTCCACAGGGTTTTTGGAGATCACCTGTAGGGGGCCTCTGCGGTTTCGAGGACCGAGAAGATATTCTCATTGGAGTCTCTACCAAACAGATAGTACATTCAACAGATACTGTAGATTAGAGTAGGCTTGATTAGAGAGATTAGAGTAGAATAGATTAACTTTTGATAGATTAGAGTAGAGTAGACTAGATTTGATTATTTAGATAGATAGATAGATAGATAGATACATAGATACATAGATAAATAGATAGATAGTTAAACAGATAGATACATAAATATAGATGAATAGATATATCTATATATGCATAGATATAGCTACATTGATTTAGATACATAGATAGATATTGTATTATGCAACATTTATGTATATATATATATAATGATATCATTATTCAGGAGTTATATATAGGAGTCGGTTGTTTCGTTGCGAGGTACCAAACTCATCATCCTTTGTTCTCCTGGAAATCCCACCGGCGGAGCAGTCGGACTCAGTCGGAGGAAGGGGACGAAGGGGAAGCGACCAGCGGACGAAGGAAGTGCGAAAGAAGCCGCTGTTTTGTTGCTAACAGGTTGCCCACGTTGTAAATAACTCACTTCATGTTGGTCAAATTTGAGTCCCTTATATCAACAGGATGTGAAGCCCCCAAGATATAAGTTGTTTTAGATTCACCCCAGTAACTAGTTAGTTATAAATACCATAAACCATAGTTATTGGAGTTATAAACCAACTTAGCTATCTTGGGGGCCTCACATTGTAGTGTTTATAAAAGCTGTTAAGAAGAATTATGATAGTAGTGTTCACAAACAATAGCTGAAACATCATTTTTAGTGGTCAATTTATGAAAATTGGTTTGTACTACGTAATGAATAGCTGGTTCATGATCATGGGATTAAACAAGATTCCTAATCCATCATATGGATACCGGGACAGCTATTGACCAACCAGTCAAATTTAAACTAGTCAGTCTAATAGAATTGATCACTGCTCATTTGGTCAAATCTTATTGGTATCTTGACATGTGATTTGATCTTCCATCCCAATCTGGAATGATTACCCTCTGGTAAACGTTTACATAGCTGTTGAAAATCACCATTTTTAATGGGTAAATCAACTATAAATGGCCATGTTCAATAGCTAAATTACCAGAGGGTATTTGCCATCTTCACCCTGGTTGGTGTTTTCCCAGCCGTTGATTACTTCTGCCAGATCAAGCAGCGCTAAAAATGGGGGGCCCATGGTGTTTGTGCTGTATATCTTGTGTTTCTCGTCATAGGCCCCTACAGTTATAGCATGTTTTGGCCCTTAGCACCTCTAAGTGACCACATACTCATATTCTGATGGGTGTATATGTACAACATTCAATTTTCTGGTGGTTAAACCCTTCGACTTTTTTTTTGCTGTTTGCCTACCACTGGATGTCAGGGTGCCCTATGTTTGGACAAATCCTCTTGTTGCCATCCCATTCTGAAATACTTTGACCCTCAGATGCATAGAAATTGTGAAAAGTCCCCCATTATGTGGTAATGTGGTATAAGTACCATGATTTATGTGGTTTATGTTCACCGTAAATCATGGTTTTCATGGTGAAAAGTACAATTTTTCACGGTCACTGTTTCGGACGTGTTTCGGGCGCCTCGGGCTCTGAGGTCCTGACCTCGCAGGATTTGGACGCGGTGGCGGATGTGGCTCGGGAGTCCGGTGCTTACGTCCTGAGTGATGAGATCTACTCGAGGCTCCGGGGCTTGATCTCGGAAAATCATGGGAAAACGATGGGAAAATATGGGACATGTTTGTGGCCCCTTTTTGGGGCCCCGGACCATATGGACCATATGGAAACTTCATGAAACTTATGGGTAAGATGGGAAACTGAGCGGAGGGGCAGAGTGCTTCCAACTCTCCCAGCTTGACATTTCTGATCAATCCATGTAAGACGATGAACCCACTAGCTGATTATTTCAATCTTTGGGGATGACTGGGGTAATCGGGAATATGTACTATATATATACAGTTTAATATATATATATATATACAGTTTAATATATATATATATAATATAATATATATATAATATATATAGTTAATATAATATGTATATATATATATTATATTCTGCGACTCATGTTAATCAAAATCCGAATCATCAATCAAAACTTGAGATGGAGACCCTCAAGTAATTTAGCCCTAGCTGGAACATCATCCATGGCTTTGATGATTATCCCACTCTCCCATTCAAGTCGTTGGGATTTCCCATATTAAATGGCCAGATGGTAGGGTAATCCCCTGAATTTTCTGGTTGAATCTCATTTATAGGTGCTTAAATACCAATATCATCCCGATTCGTTATATTCTTACATATGGTCTTACATATATTTTTACATATACATATATACATATATACTCGATATATACAATTTATATATATATACATACAACACATATAATTATATATATATACATACAATATACAATTTATATATATTTACAATATATATATTATATACAATATATATATATATATATACAATATATATATATATATATATATACAATATATATATACAATATATGTATATATACAATCTATATACATCTAAAATCATTTAACACATTATTTCCCATGAAAAATTAAGATTGATATTTCCCCAGCCCAGCATTAGCTCTCAGCCGCGCGCAGTCTCATTTTCGATGGCCAGCACGATACCATTCTGCTACGAGAGGCTCAGGGGAACTGGATATGATCCATAACATCATGTTAATTATGTATATATATAAATGTAATATGTATATATTTTAGTTCTTACATAATTATATATATAATACTCATTATTTATAATATATATATATATATATACTATTTTTATATATATATACTATGTATATATATATATTATATTTTATATATATTATATATTTCAGTATATGTTAAGTTCTATGGTCAGCAATGTCAAACGCATATTTGTTGATCTCCCCTGGGGTTGTTGTGAATCTGGGAGGGATGCCATTTGATACTAGCAGATGACATCACTGGGGTGCATACCCTCTGGTAAACAAACATAGCTATTGAAAATTGCCATTTATAGTGGATCTATCCATTAAAAAATGTGATTTTCCATACTTACGCTAGTTTACCAGAGGGTAGTTTCAACACTAGGATAACTTGGTCTATGATAGTCTTTATTTGGCTCTCTAGGTGGGTGATCCTTACCAAATGACTGAAGAAAAATGAAACATAGGATGAAAGAACCAAGAACCAGTCCAATTTTGTATATACCCTCTGGTAAACGTTTATGGAAAATCACCATTTTTCTTGGGAAAATCCACTATTTCAATGTCCATGGCTTCAATAGCTATTTTGACATAACCAGAAGGTACATATTTTGACCAGTTCTCCAGGTTGGTGAAAATTCCAGGTTTCAACACCCAGATGTTCATCATCCTTTGGATCTTTGCAGTTACTGTACCCTCCGAGTTGTGGATGACAGATGACTATTTTTTTGGTAAATTATATACAGTAACATAGCTATGATATAAAGTAACATAGCTATAGTATTTTTTTGGTAGATGTACTCTCCAGATGACTATAACATAGCGGTAGCTATCTAAAACCCCGATGTTCAATAGGTAAATCATCAATGGGCTGTAGTCCATGGTTATGTTAGATTACCAGAAGGGCATTCTTTGCTCCTTGGACGAAAATGAATGACTAAAGTGGTGCCCCAGTTTGTTAGCTAAGTTGGCAAACACAACACCAATATACTCCAAATTCACTCCGGGTTTATGATACATAACTAGTTAATTGGGGTTATAAACCAGCTTAGAACTGAGGGGGCGCCGCCTTGACTAATAATGACTATCACTGAAAACTGCCCGCACGATTTGGAAACTAAAACTGTGGGGATAATATGCAGCAACGGATACTGTTTGGCGTTTTTGAAGCCCAGCAAAACTGATTTCGAGTGAACCACACACGTTTTCGTTCTTTTCGGCTAGAAGTGGAACGGGTTGTCATCCATCTTATATGATTTATATGGATGATCTGACCCCACTACTTTTTTGAAAATGGACTGTATGTGACTGTATCACTGAACAGTAGACACAATGTATATGCACATATATGTACATAATACACGTCCAATGTGTATATACATATATATATATATGTATGCAAATACATACATACAGAGTCATATATATATATATATATATTATTCATATAAATATGTATTACATATGTATTATATATATATATATATGTATATTACATATGTATTGCATATGTATTGCATATGTAATATATATATATTACATATGTATTACATATGTATTGCATATGTATATGTAATATATATATATTACATATGTATTACATATGTGTTGCATATGTATTGCATATGTAATATATATATATTACATATGTATTACATATGTATTGCATATGTATTGCATATGTGCATATGTATTACATATGTGTAATATATATATATATATATATATTACATATGTATTACATATGTATTGCATATGTATTGCATATGTAATATATATATATATATATATATTACATATGTATTACATATGTATTGCATATGTATTGCATATGTATTGCATATGTATTATATATATATATATATATTACATATGTATTACATATGTATTGCATATGTATTGCATATGTAATATATATATATATTACATATGTATTACATATGTATTACATATGTATTACATATGTATTGCATATGTATTGCATATGTATTATATATATATTACATATGTATTACATATGTATTGCATATGTATTGCATATGTATTATATATATATTACATATGTATTACATGTGTATTACATATGTATTGCATATGTATTGCATATGTATTGCATATGTATTATATATATATATTACATATGTATTACATATGTATTGCATATGTATTGCATATGTATTGCATATGTAATATATATATATATATATATATTACATATGTATTACATATGTATTACATATGTATTGCATATGTATTGCATATGTATTGCATATGTATTTTGTATATATATATATATATATTACATATGTATTACATATGTATTGCATATGTATTGCATATGTAATATATATATATATTACATATGTATTACATATGTATTGCATATGTATTGCATATGTATTACTTATGTATTGCATATGTATTATATATATATATATATTACATATGTATTACATATGTATTGCATATGTATTGCATATGTAATATATATATATATTACATATGTATTACATATGTATTACATATGTATTTCATATGTATTACATATGTATTACATATGTATTGCATATGTATTGCATATGTATTGCATATGTATTATATATATATACATAATATCTATGTGTTTTATAAACTATTCTTTACACATAGAGGCTCCGAGCCAGCACAGGGCATGCCTGAGCGCTGCGTGTTACTGGATGGCTGCAGCAAGGCATTCGTCGGGCTCCCTGGGAAGGAACGGGGAAATCATGGGGATGTTTGACTCATCTAACCAGGATTTACTGGATTTAGAAACTTACATAATGGTTAATATATGGTTAATATATGGTCAATGATGGTTAACAATAATATAAAATAAACCATAGAGTTTCTGATGATATACCCTCTGGTTATTTGTTACATCGCCATGGTTAAGCCATGGCCCATAGAAATAGATGGTTTACCGAACTTAAAAATGGTGGATCTTTCCATGGCTATGTAAAAAATAACCAGAGGGTACTGGATTTAGACACTTATTATAAGTTGATGAGCTGCACGCCTCAAAGGAAACTAATCGTCATTATATTCGGAAACTAATATAATATATTTGGGGTTTAACTGAGCTTTACCTTCTCTAATTCAACTTAGCTACTGAAAATTGCCCATTTATAGATGAATTGTACATCAAAATATATTAATAGTGACGATTTTCAATAGGTGTGTTAAATTTTAAGATATTATATCCCAAATATGACTCTGTTGTGATGCCACCCAGTTACTAACTGGGATGCACATCCAAGCACATATGTGTGACATATTAAGGCGGATGGTGCCCCAGTTTGGCAGAATGATCCACATGATCATTCAAATGAGAACGCGTCATAATATTTAATGATTCACCAGTGAGCTTGTTTTGGGAATAGGGTACTTACAGCAAAATCTATTTATCATCATTCTTCCTACAAGGTGGTGCCACTCAGATATAAGTTGATTCATAACCCCATGAACTATGTATATATATATATATATTCATATACACAATATGCATCATAAACCCTAGTTATTGGAGTTCAACGTTTACCGATGTTTCGCGATTCCGACCTGGGCCACCACCGAAAAAAAACGTTTCGGAGCCAGGTAGCTCTATGGGATCAGGTCATAGAGCTCCCATGCTGTGGACCCATATATGTGAATGAGCTTTACAGAACTCTTGTTAATTGATATACACACTCACATATATGTATATATATATAATATATATATTATATATTATATATATATAATATATATATATTATATAATTATATATATTATATATATTATATATATACATTTGTTTTCCCAGTATTGATGGAACATTGAAACAGATTAATTGATATATATATATATGTGTGTGTGTGTTCATATGTTCTGTCATTGTTGTAGATATATTTATATACCATGAAATCCATGTGGCTTTACCACATTGGTAGAAAATATTGTATAAATTCATATGACTATATATAACTGTATAGATAGATAGATATATATATATACATGCACATTTCTTTAATGGATCCAAAACTTATCTAAAGTTATGGACACATTTATACATGTCAATGTGGATCCATACATTGTTCTTATAATTCCCTAAACTATGTATATATATTTTAAAATCAGTATAAACCCAGATGCGAACTAAAATACTCACACACACACACCGGATTGACTATAGATGTATCAACCATAAAATCAATATTATTTTGACTTTCCCATATGGGTAGATCATATATGTTAATTTCATATAATTCTATTCATAACATTTTATATGAGTCTTTAAATAATCATATAAACATGTATATATATATAACTTTATTTACAAGTATGAATAACTTTGCAAATGATATTTATATATATAACTTCATGTATAACCTTATTTTCTGACTTTATATAATACATACTAACCAGGTATAAACATATAATTTTGCAAATAATATAGTCTAACATTATTAAATAACCATATATTATAATAAACCACCAACCAGTGTAGCTGGATCAGTATCCCATTACCAAGTGTTTTAACTATGTCCCTTCAACCACTATTAATCACTACTAATCCATCTATTAATCAATCTATTAACCCACTAGTAATACGTGTATAGTTGATAGATAGATGTTGATATATTTGTTTTTTTCCTTTTCCCAGGTTCGCTCGGGTTTGTGGTGATGATATCATTTAACGATCTACTTAGATGAATAGGAAAGCAAATTATCAATCATGGCTGGTTGGGAACTCCCATAAATAACATTATTAAACAACCATATATATATATATCATAATATATTTCATAATATATGGGACAATCCTTCCCATTGACTAATATTTTTCAAGATGGTCATACCCTGCTAAGCACCAATAAGTTAAATATATGTATTCTATTCAAGGTTATTCAAACATATTGTTATTAAACCGCATATATGGATATATTCTATTGTAACCATATATTATATACCAAGTGTTTTAGCCAACGATATTATTCTATTATATACACCACCCATATATTGTCCCTTTAACCACTATTAACCACTATTAATCCATCTATTAATCCATCTATTAATCCATCTATTAATCCATTTATTAATCCATCTATTAATCCATCTATTAATCCATCTATTAATCCATCTATTAATCCATCTATTAACCACTATATTATGGTTACTCAATATAAATAACATGAATCAATAACCATATAATAACCATATATATATACATATATACATACCCTCTGGTTATTTGTTACATAGCCATGGTATAGATGGCCCATAGAAATAGATGATTTTCCCATTAAACATATTTAAACATGGTGATTTTCAATAGCTATGTCAAATTAACAATTATTAAATAAACATATATATATATATATCTATATATAACATGAAATCCACCAAGGCGATGACGGGCTGGCGCCTGGGCTTCGGCCTCTTCCCCAAGGAGCTGGTGGAGCCTGCGCGGAATTTGGCCATCAACAGCTGGACCTGCGACTTTGCTGGTGAAAACCCTGGAAAAATGCTAGGAAAATGCTGGAAAATGTTGGAAAACCATGGGAAAATGCTAGGAAACCATGGGAAAATGCTGGAGAACCCATGGGAAAATGGTGATTGAAACCAAGAAAAATGAGGATTTCACTGATTTTTAGATGGCTAAGTTGGTGAAGGTAAGAATTGGATTTATGGTGGTTATTGTTGAACTAGGTATTGGGGTTTGTAAAATTACTTTCTGAGGAGCACCATCTGATATCCTGTGGATTTTTCATTTCAATTGATGCAACTACTTGGTAGTATTCATACCTGGAAGTGCATTGTGTAGATGGACCATATAATGCGTGTATACAGCGTACAGTTCTAGATAGTCTCTGAATAGTGCATGTAATCTCTCCAAATGTTTCGATTCATCCCCACTATTGCTGGGTATGCGCCCATGAATGTCGCTTACTACTCCATGATTGCTGGTCTTAGTCGGAGATGGGTTGCCTCCTGTGTTGCTGAAATCACCCCATGATAAATGTGAGTTTCCAGGACGGTGAATCATACAGCTACCCTTCAACAGCCTCCAAAATGTTCTGAAAAAAGTCCACCTCGCTGGGTGAGTCTATTTTCCCCTCAAAAAACGCGTAGCAAACAACGAACAATGTCCCCAGTGTCCCCAAAAAAAAGTCACAGCGAACCCCAGCAGTTCACGCTGAGGCATTCCACCCTTCGTTGCTGCTGGTGCTATCACTGCACTGGATACGCCTAAGGACCGATGGCCACACTGAGTGACGCTGATTCGCGGGCGACGTTTGAGTCATTGGGGAAACACATCCAGAATGGTTTATGGGCTATCCATGGCCATGAACGGACCAGGAGAAAAAGGAACCCTCAAAAAGATAGAAAAGTGAATTTTCACTCATTTTCGCGTGGATTTACCTTTACCATCTGGCTATTTAACAGTTCGCCATGGAAAATCCACCCATTTTTAAGTTCAATAAACCATCTATTTTCTATGGGCCATCTATACCATGGCTATGTTAAATAACCGGAGGGTAGAAATAAGATGAGAATAACACTGATAAAGTGATATTGGTGTTATGTCATCTTATCTCTACATTATGATGTAGCCAATGTTGTACAAAACACATATTAAGACATACTAATGCAGTAAAGGTAAAGGAACCAACTCCCACACCATACTTAACTGCCTTAAATGTACCATGTGGCGGGTCTGAAATCTTCAAAACATCGGATTTCCCATGTGTTTTTGCATGTTTTTGCATTTATGGAAGATGGTTTGCACCCAGCCAACCTCTTAGATTCCCCAGGAAGAGCTGGACTACATGCGTTTGGAATACGCCGCCAGGCGCGAACTGAAGGGACTGAGTAAAGTCAGGAACCAGGTCTGGCCAGGGTCCATTGCGTGTTTTTCATGTGTTCAGAAAGTCTTGTTGGATGCGTTCATTGCGTTTCCGTTTGTAAGGCTTCGACCCACAACAGTTGTTTCATTGATCATCAAACCAATCTGGTTGGTGGTTTGAGACATGAATGGATATATGTTCATAGTTGGGATGATGATCCAATCTGACAATTGGGTAAATAATCCATTCATCCATAGTATGAGATCAAACCATTCTGACAATATGGTGATGATCCAATAGTTGGGGGGTTGATGAACATGAATGGATTATTTTTCAGGGGGGTAGGTCAACCACCAATTCGCAGATCTCGATGCAGATCTCGATGGTCATTCCAGGAGACACATGGCAGTGGCAGTGGCGATGGATATTGATGATAGATACTTTCATATACAGGCCCGAAGGTTTATAAACCTTTATAAACCAACTGTTAATGGATTTATATGGATTTATGATGACTGTGAATAAATAGACATTAATATGACTGTGAATGGATTTATAAACGTTTATAAACCAACTCTAACATAGCTAGGACCATAGCTGGCTGGCATAGCGCACCACCGACCCAATCGATTTTCATCGCTAGGCGCGATTTGCTCTTCGAAAGGCTGAATCAGTTGCCAGGCATCTCTGTGGCCGTGAAACCTGCGGGTGCCATGTGCGCCACGATGGCGGGATGAGGGACCAAGGGGACCATGGAAGAAACCATGGGAAGAAACCATGGGAATAGCATGGGATGTATATCACATGTCGGAATCGGAATAAATATACGTACCGTATAATATATATGCTAGATGATATGTTAGGACAAGTCAGAAGATATGTCAGACTATACATGTGAGTTGATATATGTAACATAGAGCAAATGTCTTAGCGTTCCAGATGAGTTTTTTGTTGGTGGTGTACATCGTACATCCCACCGTTTTAGCGTTAAATTCTCCCCTTGATCCCTTGTCATGTCTACCAGGTATTTGTTAGCGAACGTCACCGGGACCTCGCTGAGTTCCAGAGACTTTGCGGATCGCTTGTTGCAGGTGCCAGCAGATGGTAGCTGGGTTTGATCCTGGGGGACAATGTCTTGGAGCCATCAATCCATTATAATCCAGCATCCAAAAGAAATCCGTAGCATCATCCAGCATCCAAAAGATTCCCTCCAGGGATGAGGCAACTGAGGCAGTGACATGTGATAGAAGGCTGGGTGGTGGTTTCAATATGTTTCAATCATGTTTTATGTTCCGTAATATATGAGATAATCCTTCCCGTTGACGAAGTCATATTTTTCAAGATGGGCACATTGCACCACCAACCAGATAAGTTAATCACTATTAGTTACCATTAATACACTATTAATGATTATTAATCACTATTAATCACTATTAATGACTATTAATGATGGTTATTGCACCACCAACCAGAAGGTCTGATGAAGTTGAAATATTGCCAAATCTCTGGAGTTGAGAGTTGGGGACCCAATGGTACTCCAGGTCACAGGCAGCGACGAAGTTAAAGATTTTGCAACAAGATGCCCTTTATTGTAGAGAAAACACATATTATCATCCAAGTAATTTGTCACTTAAGTTATAAGCAACTTTTGGAACTATTAAGGGCTATAACAAGCTATAAGTGTCTTCTTCGGGTCCCAAAACTCAGCGCCATCATTTCAGGAGGAGGCGGTTTCGCTCTTGGACGGTCGCTACTTCGGAGATGGAGGCGAGGGTTTGGTCAGGACAGGGCGGGACTCCATGGGGTTTGAAAACCATGGAGCCGCAGGGGCTTTTTCGGTAGGTGATGGGTCAATTTATTGAAGGTGAAGCCGTGAAGTCCGGACTGTTGAGATTTCACCTGAAGATGTTGAGTATTTTTTGCAATTTTGGACCTATTCCCGTGTCAAGTGCACATGAATCTGAACATTCCCCACCCATGTTACCAAATTGTTGCAGTTCACCAAGTCGCCATTCAGAATGGTTGGCTAGTGCTCATACGTGATCAAAGGTGGGGCAATTGATATTAGATGCATATATATATATTATTTAATTATATATATATATAATATATATACACTATCATATAGTAGTTTTTCTAGTATATATTTAGACACATGTAGATTGATTAGCCGGTATTCCCTATGGATCCAGATACTTCCTGAGAAGGGACTGGCCCAAGGCCTAGTCATCATACATCCCAGTGAAACTTCCTCAAAAGGTACTGCTGGATCTGGACCGTTATTGACAGCAAGTGAATGATCATCCACATAGCAACAATTTGCAACAATAAGTTAATCATCATTAATCACTATCAATCACCATTCATCACTCCATAATAATATATGGGATATTATGGGATGTTATCGCTCCGATTGACGAAGTCATATTTTGAAAAAGTTATTGCACCAACCAGATAAGTTAATCACTATTAGTCACCATTTTCATACACTAATGATTATGAATCACTATTAATCACTATTAATGACTATTAATGATGGGCACATTGCACCACCAACCAGACTATTCATACACCAGACGGGTGGTGAAAACCACCCTTCCAGGATCTCCTTCGCTCAATCCCGTGAGCGCTTGGAGGAAGGATGTGCGTCTCGGCACCGGGAACTGGGTCTATTCGATGTTTTTCGAAGATAGCACCGGTGGTTCTGAATTGATCACTTAAATCGAGTGGTTGGTTTTCAACACGAATTGATATAAGTACTAACAAAACCCCATTTATAGAATGTATAATCCCATAGAAATAACCAGTTATAACTAATAAATGGCCATAACTCTAGTTGGTTGAACACGCCATCGATTCGATGGTACTGCTCGAATCGAGATTCGATATATCTACAGTCGGATGGGTGGGCACAAGCCACGGGGTCTCGCCCCACATGGTGGCGTGCCAAATGAGGCATGTAGTTTTTTTGGTGGTTGACTGTTCGAACGGTGAAAAAAAAATGGCGACTTCACTGCTGAAGCTCACGATAAATGGTTAGGATCGGGGAGATCCTCCAAACATGTTTACTTCAGGCTTGGAAGTATAGTTTACCCAGATGGTTGTAAGTTAGAAGCATGAATTATGGACAAAGATGGCGGCCCAAACACAAAGGATGGGCAAATCGGCACATCTATCAAAAACAAGATGGGGATTAAAATAGCGAGAAACAGTGGTTTGATGTGGGGTTCTACTATTGAATGGGATTTGGATTTCCCCCTTGGAGAGCCTGCCAGTATTTCATTCAGAAAACAGGGACAACGGAGGTTTCTTGGGGCTCAGGTAACAGTGATTTTGCTGGTTTTGTTCCATCAGACATCAAGCAAACGGTGTCACCTAAATAGAGGTTCCATGGTGATCCCTCAAAAAGTCAAGGACTCAAGAAAACACACAGGGGTAGTTTTACTTGCGTTTTTCTCTGGGTAGCCCATGTCTCAAGTTTTCCCTTTGCTTTCAGGATTCGGCCCTTGAATCCAGTCTATCGTTTTTTTTTGCTTAGTTGGCTTTTGAACGCATCAGGAACGAATCAAAAACTTTCTGATGCGTTTGAAAGCTTAGCCGGCTCAGCCAAGTTGCCAGGCATTGCACATTGCAATGCCTGGCAATGGTTGGCAGCTATCAGAGCTAGTGGATCAATGAATTCTCCTCCACGCAAGAATAAATGGAGCAGCTTTCCTGAACATGAGGGAGATAGTTGCTTGGTAGGTAAGTTTGATACTTACCATTTTTTCCAAATGAGTTTTGTAGCAGTATCCGGCTAGACCTTTATACTTGGTCTAGCATGGCAAGTTTGGTTTACCACAATCAAGCATGCTGGTGTTTTTGAGATACGGAGTAATTGTTCTTAAACATGTTGGCTTACCTCACCAAAGAGAATCACATCAGGGCGTACTTGCAAAGCATCTCGTAGTGCTAACAGCTGTACATAGTTTGCAAGGTCAGTTGCACAAAGTTGCACCGATGCCTGTCAGTATTGTTTCTGCAAAAAAAAGTCTTGCCGTAGAGTGGAGACAGCTCAAGATTGGAGTGCCTAGACATAGATGTTGCTCTTTGTCCCAGACGCACTATCTGTGTTTACCTATAGATGCATACATATTTGCATATGATGGCAGGTACCGATGTACGTTGATTATGTTTATATATGAACTGTTTGAAAGAGTTGTTGGTGTGTCTACTATTGTCTACTCATTTTGCGAGGGTTACAATCTAAAGTGACTCAGAAGCCCACAGATAGATTCACACTTGCAAGCATACGAAGCTAAAATATCCAGATAGGTACGCTGAATGCACGTTCATGTATAACATTCATAAATTCTCAGAGTGTTTTTTTGTTAACAGAGCATTGGGGAATCAATGCGTGTCATCTTTGGTATTTTTCGGCTGGAACTATGACATGGAATCCATTGGCACGTTCTCCCTCGGGCTTCACCACATGCAGCTCTTTAGTACTTGTTGATGTATCTTGATATTATATATATAATATAATATGATATCATAATAAAATCTAATACACTACCATATATTACATATATTTCAAGAAATAGGAATTCCCATATATTGTTTTCAACCTTCATCCGTTTAATGAATACTAAGATTTCCTAGAATATATCTATATACATTATTTGTGTATATATATATATATACATATATATATATATACATGTATATATATATATACATATATATATACATATACATATATATATATATACATATATATATATACATATATATACATACAGTATGTACATGTTTGAGTTTATGTATGATATTTATGACTCACTCTGCAGCCATGGCAAAGTCACCAAAAGCTGGTCCGTGCGTCGTCCTGGCCCACGAAGCCAGGTCATAGCGGAGCAGCAGAAGAAGTTGCACGCCTGTCAGGTGTGACGTCCCAGTTACTCAGTTGGCCATGGTGAAACCTCCAAATTCTTGGTGGTTACCCTCTGGTTATGTCAAAAAAGCGACATAGAAAATGGCCATAGAAATAGTGGATTTTCCCATGAAAAATGGTGATTTTCCATAGTTATGTAAACGTTTACCAGAGGGTAATAGAGGTTGATAATGGTTACCCTCTGGTCATTTTAAACAGTTTGTCATGGTATAGATGGCCCATAGAAATAGATGGTTTACAGAACTTAAAAATGGTGATTTTCCATGGCTATGTTAAATAACCAGATGGTATATAATGGTTGATAGTGGTTAATCATTGTTTAGGTATGACTAGTGAAGTGGATAATCATGGTTACTCATGGTTTTCACAGTGGTTAAAAATGGTTCAAACAACCCAAGATTACAAAAGATCAATGGCCCCATGATTACTGGTGAATTTTGCCTTGAATGGAAGGCCTTACTTTTGTTTTTTTCCCAGATTCCCGGATTTGTGTTGGTTTATACAGCCCATGAACTATAGTTCTCTGCCTCATAAACCCTAGTTCACCATATCTAGGAAGCCAAAATATGCTGAACCTAACCATGAAACATTGCGAAAAGATGCTAAAATTTGACCATGAATTAGCCATGAAACATGTGATCTAGGCCACATGGGGATTCAGAGCCAAAGTGCTGATCAACCAGGATTGAACCACCGGATGATCATGGATAGCTGGCTGTGTCTTTTTTTCATGGGAGATTCACGGCGACATGGTCGTTTCAATGGGGGAAGATGTTGAACCAACCGATCCAGATGGAGAGCTGTCGAGAGTTGAACAGAATAGGAGGAGTTGCAGCTGTGAGCAGCGTGAAAACTAGAAGTACCCTCTGGTTATTTAACATAGTCATGGTATAGATGGCCCATTTATAGATGGTTTACCTGGGTTTACCTATTAAAATTTGTGATTTTCCAGTTTGCTATGTGAAATAACCAGATGGTATATGCAATTATACACGTTCATAGAATCAATATGCAATATCATGCATTATATTTATATATAGTAAGCCTTTGAAAAATAAAACAACGACATCCGACAAAAATAATGTCAATTTACTTTTGTTTATTGTTTTGGTCTACTATATGGTTTCTTATAGTAGTATACATCTTACACCCCGAAGATCAACCATCAACCTCCTCACAAATGTTTTTTTAAGTTTCAAGGTGAAGTGTTCAGGTGTAGTCGGATGAACGGACATGGCTATTGAGACAAATCAACTTGTGTGTCGAGCGCTACAACGGTTGATCTTTCAAGAAAGAAAACACTATCCTAAACCTCTGATTTTGTTGAGCCATTCTCAGCTTTCGGTGGCTTTTTTCCAGAACTGGTACCAGGGTTTTTGCCGTTTTCGCCTGCTATCCTGAGCCAACAGGCTCTTTTTTTCGATCCGTGTCGCAGCTGCTGCAAGCCGGAAATTCAGTGCCTTTTAGGTGACAGTAGTTCAACAGTGCAAAATCCAACAAAAAAAGGATCTCTTTCCATCCTTTTCCAGTGAACCTTTCAGATGCGAAAATTTGGGTCAAACAAATGGTGATTTAATATGATGATAACCTGATCATAACCGTGTTGACACCCAGGTCATTGCAGAAATCCTCAGGGATTTCCCAGTTCGTTTGACCCTCCAAAAAGTCGCGCAGCCGCGCAGCCGATGTGAAAGCCATGCCATGGCCATGGCGGCCATGATTTGTGGCTGGCTTCGTAATGACCTACGATGCCACGATTCCCCTGAGACTTGCTACACGAACGAAGTTTTTCCAGTGGGGGTGTCTGAAGATGGGGTACCCTCTGGTAAATTAACAGTTCGGCCCTGGCAGTTGTCGGGGTTGGAAGATTAGTGAAACCATTCAAACTAGGCTACTTTCAGGGTCTATGTTAATTTATCAGAGTATAGCCCCAAAATTATTTTTCAAGGGGGCAATGATGAATCAATGATGATTAACCATCAACATCTCTTGTGTTTCTGAAATTTTCAGACAAAGCCATCTATAAGTTTCTGAAGGTACCGGAATGCAAGGCAATGTAATGCAATGTGATTGTAATGCACTGACTGCACTGTATTGTAGGCGTCTACGTATGTAACGTTACTGTATGTATCATTATGTATCTTTCCTTATATTATATATATATGTATGTATATGTGTTGGTTTCTTAACATGTGGGATCCCCAAGTCACCATGGGTTTCAATCTGCCACCCAGGTTTTGCATCGGGCCGAGGAATTGGCGCGAAGGTTGCTGGCTGTCCGGGTAAGGGCGGCCACTCCCACAGAGATAGAGTAAAATCTTACTAGAAGAGTGATAAACAGTTTGGGTTTCTAATGTTTCTAATGTTTCTATGTTCCTGGGGAATACTAAAGCTACATACAACTACAAAAGATATTTTGGTGGGGATGTGACATTTCAAGCAGCTGTAATAGGGTCACGAACAATATTGCTATTACCAACCCAAAATTGCATTTAGATTGAACAACAATCTTGGGATTGTGATCGACAAGAATGTTGGGATCTGGACCAAACACATTTATATATATATACACATGTTTTCAAGAGGCTTATAGCCAAAGGTGCCTAGAGTTGATTTCGATTTTGGGACTCCCTTCGCAGCAGTAGGGTCCTGACATGAGCTTCGACATAGTCCATTAAAAGGTGCTTAAGGATAGGTTCACAACAGGTCAGAATAAACGATTCCGAAGCTGAATCCGAAGCAATATTCATGGGTCTCTTTGAACATGGGAATATTCCCTCCTAATTTAATGTATTTTGCATTGCGTTTGGAACATGATGATCCAAGAATCGAAGCTCCCTGATCCCCTGGATTGAGAGGTGTGACAAGCCAGTGCTGTTGGTTTATGTCATCGATCCTCGTTATTTCGAAACTTCACCCTTTGGAGTGCCACGGACTGGCGCTTTCAGAGCACAATTTCTACTGGACTTTGGGCTGCGTTCGTGCGGTTGGATGTTTCAATCCCTTTTTTGGGGGGCTATGAACGCTACCTCAGCTTTACTATTCATCGTGAGGAGAAGGTACGTAATTAAGCTATATATTGAGCTCAATTACTTGACTTGTATTGAGACATGACCGGCTACGTAGAGAATCATATACATGTGGATAGTTTGTGTTGTGCCGCATCAGAATCGCCGAACAATATCAATCTACCACCTCTAGCAATGTATTTATTCATAAAGTGTCCGTAGATCTTGATTTGGATCCAACTCTGGCAACTTCCAAATTGTCAGCAAGGACGCTCAGGTCATCTCAGGTCGTTTATTTATTCTCTGTGCTCCCATGTCATTTCAGACGGACCGTGCCGTTGTGTTCCAAGGAGTCACTGGTGGATTTGAAAAAAAACTTGAAAGATCTGCAGTCGGACCTCCTCCCCCGTTCCGGTCGAGCCGAAGAGGTGGGAATCACTGGTGATCTTGGTGGCTGAATGACGTCTGGGAGTAGTTTCACCCATAGAATCCCAAGGACCTAACATTGAAGTCATGGAACCCAGCATGGGATCAGATCCAGGGAATCTGGGCCAAAGAAATCACTCTGTGTCCGAAATCAGAAATGTGTGGTTTCAAGCGAATGTGACATCACATCCCTGAAGTTTGCTTCTTTTTAGCTTTGTGGCGACTCCAAGCATTTAGGGAGCTGCCCATGGCAACTGGCCCCAAATTTCCGGGATCAGCACAGCGCCATGGAGAGTCTTCCAAGATACCCTCTGGTAATGACTAACATAGCTATTGAAAATGGCCATTTATAGTGGATTTACCCATTGAAAATGGTGATTTTCCATAGCTATGTTAGTTTACCAGAGGGTAAATGGTTTTCCATGGTTTTCCCATAAAAAAAAGGTAGAAGGGGGAAGCTAGGACAAGACAGGTTGTAGGTCAGGTGGGAGGCTGTTATGTGTTTGTTCAATCTTGTAATCTGAAATGTTTGACTGTTTCTTTTTGATTATCTTGCTAAATGTTTTGTTGAGGTTGTTGTAATAATGTTTGGTTTCAATGAGGGCAGGTTTTGTTGACGGTGTTTTGCCTGTTATGTTTTGTTTATGTTCTTGTTCAATGTTTCTTCCTTCCCTTTGATGTTTTATGTGTTGTATGTTCTGTTTTTTTGTCGCTAACTTTTCTGGGGCTTTCTGTTTGAATGTGGTTAGGATTTGTTGAGGTTGTTGTGATTTAACCATCTGGATATGAGGGAAATGTTGCGTTAAGGTAGTCTATGGTTTCTTGGTGTTTTATTCGTTTCATTTCTTTATCAGTTTTCTTTTGTTGTTCTATTCGTTTTGGGTTAGGTTTGTTCAGGTTGTTTTTTATGTCGTTGGGTTCTTTCCTGTCTTAACATTTTGTTTCTGGAAATGTCAATCTTACAAATAGGACATTCAACCTTTTCTTTCTGTTTCTCAAGTTTTTGTCGTTTGTATTGTTCATAGCGTTCCCGCTCTTTTTGTCTTAATTCTTCTCGGTGATTTTCTCTATAATGCTGTTTATACTCACAACAATTTTTACATAATGCCTTTCCATTAGCAAAGTTTTCTAGAGTTTGCGTCTTTTTACATTTTGAACATTTCCTACCTTTATGTTCGTTCATTAAAGTGTTCTGGGACTATATCTTCAAATGGGTTTCTGGGTCTCAAAGATTACTTCATAATATGTTTAATCGGAAGTTCCACTGTTTCATGACTTTGGCAGAGCTGAATGTCCTTCAAACTCTTCTTGCACATCATCACAGCCTTTGAGTTCGTGAGCAACATCCTCATTGCACCTCGTCAGCACTGGTGTTCTTGCAGTCCCAGACTTGTGCTGTCTTGTGTTGCATTGCATCACATTGCATGACATGACCTGTTGCTCATTGCATGTCGCAGCACTGGCTGTTGCTCAACATGTGCAGACAAAAACGCTAAATTCCTCATGGCTTCGAGAGCTTGGGCGTGGCTTCGCGCTAATGCAGCACCGCTGGGCGTTGCGACGCCCGTTGTCGGCGTCTTCGCCTCCTATGCGTGGAATGCAACTGAGACGCAGCGCATGGCACGACAAATCCGCAGAGGACACTTCCAACCAAAGGCTCCTGCGGACTACGACCACCGGCTGACCACCGGTTTTGCCTGTTTGACATGATGGAGAAAGCTCGGATGGTCGGCCTTGTTGGGCTGAAATCTACAGGAAAGTCCAGCACTTTGTCGCACTTCCTGAGAGAGAAGCCGAACCCCCTGTCGCTCACGGATGGCAACGTCTACGACGCAATGTATGTGACCAGATGAAAGATTCAGTCCTTCGTCTCCCCTTCTTCGCACACCACCTTCGGTGGGATGCTGGGAAAAACAGCAAGAAGATCGTCATGGAAGTCTTCGAGCTGGTGCAGGAGCAGACAGGCTCGCCGGTGCAGGTGGGGGTGGATGTGGTGTTGCCCGCCAGTGCAGTGGTCTCACCAAAGGCAGACCAAGCAGTGAAGACTGCGCAGAGTGTGCTGTTGGGAACGGCAAGCTCAGTCCCAATTTCCACCGCAATCCACGTCCACCAGCTCGTCAAGGATGTGAAGTGGCTTTGTGCTGACGCGAGGGTGGCTTCAGCAGTCATAGCATCCAGCGAGGGCTTGGAGCTTCTGAGTGTGAATGGGCCAAGGCTTGCGAAGCTGATGGCAGAGGAAATGCCACTCGAGAAAGCCAAGGAGTACCTCCAGCACATCCACGCCAAGGGCTACACGGAAGAGATGCTCAAGAACATCCCGCGAACCTTCGAGAGCCTTCAACAGTTCAAGAGAGCGGAGGACAAAGATGCATTTTGCAAGAAGGAGATGAAGGAGTGGATGAAGAAAGTAGAGGAATCTCAAGGCAAGGATGGAGGTCTCAGGGCTGCGAAGGTTCTCTACAGCAAAGCGCTTGTTGGAGCAGTCGACTACAGGGACATTCGCCAGCACTGCAAAGATTAGCAGAACTTCATGGCGAATTTCGTGAGACCCAACCTCTTCACCCCCATACCAGGTGCGGAGTACAAGTTCCAATTCGATTGTGTAGCCGAGGCAGCGAAGACTGTGTTCGGTCTGTAGCCACTGTAAGTTTGAACAGGTACAGGGTGTAGAGTGGACAGCAGAGAGATGCAAAAGTGTGAGCATCAGCATCAGAGCACGCGATGATTTTGTCAAAAAAAGCAAAATGAACAAAGCTGTAGCACAGAAGTTGCAATCTTCGCGCATTGTTTGTTTCTGCGTTCCCTCATGCCACCCACCAGTTGAAGCGCTTGCGCTGAGGTATTGACATGATGGAGGAGAAGGGGGCAGACTACTCTCCCCTGCACACACATCCCATACATATAATATAGTATATCCCCCCTACCCCACTCATTCACCCTCCTGTTTGTCAGAAGGGACAGCGTCGCAACGGTCTCACCAAAATATGGGAACGGGAAAGGGTTTCAAACATATATATATATATATTTAATATATATATTTATTTATTTAAATTTGTTGTTTCATTTTTAAAAATCCATCAGCTGGGATATAGTAAGAGAAAATGAGTAAAGCAAAAATTCAGGTTATAGATAGAGATAATATCGGTATATATGCTGACTTCGGTAGTGAAAGCGAGGACGATGACTGGGAAAGAAAAGCAATAGAAAAAGAAGATGAAGAGATTAGAGACTTTGTAAGGTGTCATCCTATGCCTTCACCAGATGATGAGGAAGGAGACAAATTTTGGAAGAAAGTAATTGACAGGTTGAAAAACGACCAAGGATTAAATGCTATGATAATATATTCGTTTGTAAATTTTGACATTATGAAAAAGATGTATGAAAACCTCACTGATAAAAAGGTCATCGTTGATTGTGGTAAGGAACTTAACCGTGATGGAAAATGGGATGCTATGGCAATAAATCAAACTCTATTAGCATTAGCAATAGATGAACTGAATGATACAGACAAACCTATCACAAGTCAAGTCAGGATAATTGAACACTGGTGGGATGGAATAGGTGAATGGAAAGCATAAAAAAAATAATTCATAATATCTTAACAAAATATATTATCAAGTAATCCACCCTAAAAACCCCTTCAAGACATAACCCCTTAAACTTGTAGAGGTATAATGACTGACAAAAAGCAGTGTTCTAAATGTAAAGTCTTTCAACCGTTAAACTATTACAGAGATGAATGTAAGCAGTGTACAAACTGTTTAGAAGCAAAGCAACGATACAGAGAGAAAAACGGGGACAAATTAAGACAGTATGCCATACAGTATCATCAAAGAAGAAAGGAACAAACAACAGAGGAAAAGAAAGACACTAATGAATTGAAGACTGAATGTCCCGTGTGCGGAAGTATCATAAACAAATATCAGGTCAAAAGGCACGAAGAAAGCATCAAGCATCAAACCAAACTGAAGGGAAAGGAAAAACCGAAAGTTGTGAGAAATGGAGATGATGAAACTGGAATGTTAGGCATATGAAATCTCAATCCAAACATAAAACCCCAACAGCCTAAACAAATCCTACCCCCATTCAATCCAAACATCAACAGTGAAAGTTAAGACCCTAAACCACCCCTAACAATGTCCCAGCAAATCATCAAAACCAAGGAACACACATTGAACAACAACATAAAAACCATAACAGCCAAAACACCCTCAACAAAACCTACCCTCATCCAAACCAAACATTATTACATCAACCTCAACAAACATTTAGCAACATAATCAAAAAAACAGTCAAACATTTCAGATTACAAGATTGAACAAAAACATAACAACCTCCCAACCAACCTCCAACCTCTCTTGTCCTAGTTTCCCCCTTTCACCATTTTTCCCATGTTTTTCCCACTATCCCAGATGCAAAGAGAAAGATGTGTATATCGCATATCCTTTGCAATGCTGGTTGCTGTTGAACCTCGTTCTGATATGGAAGGCAGAAACAAAGGTGACAAGTCAAGTCTCTTTTTACAAGGTTGGCTTGTATACAATGACTACATTGTATTCCACTGTATTCCCATTATATTATATATCATTATCTTCCCATTATATTCCTATTACATATTCCCATGTAAAAAGGTAAACACATCCATTTTCTTCAAGAACTGATTTTGGCCAATACATCTCATATCCCAAACCTGTATAGATGGTGGTGCAAGAATGTTTGGAGAAACATTATTTTATTGGCCTTATACCATCTTATACCATATTGACCTTCAATATTGACCTTCAATATACCAAATAATAAACAGGTAAAAGTAAGATATGTTGTTTCTTCCTTGGAATTTAGTAATTCACTATTCTTAAGTAGTTTTATCTTGTTCTATCCTTCATGTTTTTGAAACATATGGAGCTTCGTCTCATCCGATCTTCTGCAGGTGTTTCCCGAGCTGCTCCCAAGGGGCTCGGTGCTCATCACACAGCAAGAGGTGACCCGCGATGAGTTGCGCGTCGATGATGCGCTGCGCAGAAACTTGGAGGAGCAAGGCCCGGAGTTAACCGTTTGAAGCCCGGAGCGCGGTTTGCGTTTTTTTGTGTTCGCTTAAAAACATAAAGGGATAAAAAAAAAGGGGCCACATTTTGTGGGCAAATCCTATCCCATATGAACTAAATGGTGCCTTAAATCCATGGTTTTTTGGGTTTTGAAGAAAAGAGGGGGATGGGATTGTTGGATTTGATATGATCTGATGGTTTTCCCGGGGATAGTCATCGTCATTTTGACCATGGCACAGATAAGGGATGTAGTGGGAAATCCTGGTGAAATCAATAGAATTTTCGAAGAAGGCTATCTGGAAAATCTCAACCCTCCGAACTATAGATCGACGATAGCAAGATCCTACTGAAGGCAGATGTTTCCATACTGTTATTTATATATAGATTTCTATTTTTTAGGGGTTACTATGGTTATGGAATGGAATTCATCAAACAAACACGGATATAAATGGAACAGAGGACCATTGGCATAACTTGCAGCCACTGAATCTTGCTGTGCTTAACTGTAAATCAAGGATTAGGTGAACCACTCCCCATTTTTTTCAACAAGAAAACATCAATGCTTAAAGATACTAGCTTAGTTCATATATCCCATTTATATCCAATGAATCACTCGCATTAGTTCCTAATAGGATTATCCTATTTAACGGTTTGCTCCAGTTGATGAATGGATGGCCCGTCGAACTGGTGGGACCGTGAGGACACACATATATGCAACGTATATACAGACAGAGTATATATACAAAACGGATATAGATGTTTGGCTGGTGATTTTCCATCTAGATTATATACGGGATAATCCTTCCATATATATATATATGGGATAACGCACTGCAGTTATTATTGGTTACCCTTTGGTAATTTGTAACATAACTATGGAAAGATCCCCCATTTTTTCATGGGAACATTCACTATTTCTATGGTGATGTTCCATAGTTATGTAACAAATTACCAGAGGGTAGATGTATATATAGTTGGTCTGAATTGAATCACTGGGGAGCTAAGAATATCTGCAAAGCATTTAGTTCCTTTGCTTCGGAACGCAGTTCTCAGAGGGAAAAAACAACGAATAGGAAGGTCACTTTTCGTTGCTTGGAAGTGAGCTGGGCATGTTTTTGTTTGTTGATTGTATTGGGGGGTTCATTGTTCCTTTGCCTTCCAGTGCTTCCAGTTTCCTTGAGATAGGTAATGAAGGGATTTTACACTATGGTTTACTTATCTGACAGGTGACTGGAAGATGAGGGGTTAATGAATGATTTATGTGTTTTTTTTTCCGAAAGGTAATGACCGTGGGCACAATTAAGCTTTCCATCTGTAGTGACTGTAGTGTAAGTTGAACACAGTTGTAGGAAATGTAGTTATATAATTGTATAGAAAACGGATGAGCGCATTTCATGCTTCCAAACGTAAATAGAAATACAACTACCCAATCTATCATGTGTATCTTTTGATACGCATACACATAGGAATTCCATATTTTGAAAAAATGGTTTGGATGTGTTGACAACATGTTCTTTGAACCTAATCGCTGGTTCAAATTTGCTTATGGAAGAGCGATGCGTCAAACCCGCATCCAAACAGGGTTTTGATGCTCAAGCAAAGGATTATTTGCAAGCTGCAAGTTATTTTTGTTTGCAGATCGTGTTTGTACAAGATCCACAGGTGTGAGACTGGGATGCTCCCAAGATCCCCGAAGTATAGCCATGTGATAGGGGCCCAGTGATGTAGGGATGCCCTATTTTCGCACAAACCTCTTCAAATACCGGTAATTTAACAGAGCGCTATGGAAAATGGACCATTTACAGATGATGTTCCCAATAGAGCCTCCATTATAATGGATGTTCCATAGCTATGTTAGTTTACCAGAGGGTAAATCATATATATATAGTATTCCCCGAAAAGATAGAACGTAAAGTATAGTAAAGTCCTTCTAAATGAGTGAACTATTCTTCTATCATTTTAGGGCTTTCTTTCCGTCAGTTTCATTCGCAGTCATCGTCTCCAGGCGTCTCCTGGGAGTATTGCTGGGGTTTGACCTTGTTTCACAAGGAGGACTTGCCGTTTCAAGGCGACTTGAGCAACATGCCAGATGCCTGGCAAAATTCATGGTATTTTTCATGGTTGATAGTGGTTAATCATTGTTTAAGTATGACTAGTGAAGTGGATAATCATGTTGTTTTGGTTTTATAAGATGCATATAAGGATGCTGTTTCTTTTAATGTAGCCCCTTTTTTTTTTGGTAACGTTTTATTTCTTACCAGCCGGTGCTTTTCCGTGTTTTTTCCCATCATTTCCCAATACCAAACATCTCAAGGCGTGCACTTGCCTTCAGGATGTCTTCACCCCCTTCAAGAATGCTGTCGCGCCGGAACTGAAATGCGCCTGCAACCAGATACCTGCGCCTTATTCGGAGGAGATCAAGAAAACGGAGACCGGACTGAGAATCCGACCGTGCTTTCCTGCCCCAGCCCGAGGGGCACTACCTTTACCCAAGTCGATTGAATTTGGTGCTTGGGCGTATTCAGACGTTTTCCTTCTTTGGACACTTGAAGTATAGAATTTCATTGGAATTTCAATCTATAGATTTCTGAACATAGGGATGATATAGTTGCTATCGTCATGATGTCTGGAAATAGGGCTGATATCGTTCTTATCGTATGCTAGCGTTATGATATTTCGTCGTTTTATGTTCCTGGACGTCCATTTGTACTATAAGTGACACTAATTGAAAAGTCGTCGTTCCAACAATCTTGATGATGTTTCACAAAAAGCGGTCACCTTCCAACAAAGTAAACAATTTTGCTGGTCGATTTTTGAAAAGCGTACTACTTTGTCAAATTGTTGAGCTGTTATGTTTTTTTTTCTATCCGTTTGTGCTTGGTGCCCTTATACAATTAATACGTTGCGAAAGAAAGATACGAAGATCATTGTCGTTTTGACAAAAATTGAACGGTTTGCCGTGTTTCATGCGTTTTCAATTTGGCAGAGTAGTTTTTTTTCTAGTACGAATGGATGTCTAGGCTATATTATAATATAATTATACTGTATCTGTAGCAGAGGCATGTATACTGCATGAATGCTCTATGGACTGAAAACTTAATGTAAAAAATATCTTCAAAATATGTGCAAAACTAAAATGAACTAACCATTGTTTCTGGTGGTCTTAAACTTAGAGTATTGGAATAATATTCAATAATAAACCACCAAAAGTCGGGGTAGCTTAAAACACTGGCCCAAAACCCATAAGCGTACTATTATTGTAGACAGATGGTTTGGTGACTGCTTTGGCCTCACTATGTTTTTCTCTTTTAAAAATAGGCCCAGGAGTTTGGAAACAAAAAAAACGCCAGTATCAGTATAATGCAGTAAATAGCTTCTGGGATTCTATAAATAGTTTCTGGGATTCTGTAAATAGTTCCTAGGATTCTACAAATAGATCCTGGGTAGCTATGGCCCCTAACACAGAAAGAGGCCAAAGCAGTAAGTAATATATATATAATACAATATAATATAAGTTAATATAGTAAAAATATAATATAATATAATATAATATATTATATATACATAAATATTATGTATAATATTTTATAATATATATATATATATATTATGTATAAAATATGATATATATGATGTAATAAATAATATATAAAATATAATATCGAATATATACAATATAATATATAATTTGTAATGTTTAATATTTAATATATAATATATATAATATATCATATATATAATTTAATATATAATATTTAATATACAATAAATATATATATATATATATATGTATTGTATAATATGTATATAACATATTGTATAAATTATATATTTTATATATATATAATATAAATACATATATATATACATAATTCATGCACATAGTCTTCACAGCCATTTGGGTGCCCATGAACTTATGATACTCTTTAAAGAACTGCCTACGACCCCAGGTGATCTGCCTACGGCCTTGGACCTGCCCTGCGAGACAAGTCGCGCCGTCGCTGGGTGGCCCGGGGGCGAAGGTGCGGCGCTGCGGAGATTGGAGGACTACATGGCGGGACCCATCGAGACCTATGCGGATGCTTTGGGTAAAGTTGGGATGCGAAGAGTTTTTTTATATCCCATAGGATCCATGTATGGTATATATGCTAACATTTAGGGTATATTGATGGTAAATGTCACCATATATAGCATACATGGATCCTATGGGTATGGGAATGAATTCAATCCGGAAAAATTGGGATACTAGCTGAGATGTAATAATTTATGGTGAGTGTAGAACCTTTTGTAATAGACTGCTTGGTGATCTAGATAGTTTTTCTTTTGGTGTGAGTGTTTATCCCAGAATTCCTCAAAGGATGATAAACTTTCATGAACTGAAAGTGACCAGCGTTTGTGGAATTGGTTTGAACATGTGAACATGTGAATGAACCATTGACTATTGAGTATCATCACTGGCATGGCGTGGTTGTGTGTATTTGCCTGGACTTTTGTTGTGGATATTCGAACAGCCATTGTCAAGCAGACCCAGCTTGCTGGGACGATGATCCCCATAATATCACATGGAGGTTGAAACATCCTGAAACCAACCACCTGGCTGATTCTTTGGATTTTTGAGATGCAACATGTTGTCTTGCTATCTTCAGTAGCCTTAGTGAAGCCCACTTTCTCATGTCACAGGCGTGTTCCAGGGCGGGCTGACAGGTCCGCGGGTTAGGCATAATTTGTTTCCAGTATTGCCGGTGAGCTATACCCCCAAAATTGCTGGCGGAGATCCCCAGCTAAAATCACCCAGGATAAGCAATGATTCAATCACATCGTATGTTTGCAGGCATGTATCATTCAAGCCTCCGCAAAATCCTAAATGGATCCAAGGAAACCAAGAACAACATGCTGGACCCATTCGCCTCCACCAAACTCGCCCCCTGGCTTTCGAATGGATGTCTCTCCGTCCGTCGGGTCTTTGAAGCTCTGCGGCGTGTGGAAAGTACGCGTGGTGCTTCAGCATCGACCTATTGGTTGCGTGGTCAATCGGGTTTGGTGAGCCTGATGATTAAAGCATACAATGCTGATAACGAATATACATATGGCAAACCCACGGGGAAACCCAAGCGATCTACACATTGTGGGTCCACATCTATGTTCGTTTCAAGGAGGGTATGGATAGTAGCCAGACTCACATTTTTGGTTTTCTGCTTACCTGATATGATCTTTCCACTTGTGGGGAGGAGTTATTTAGTTATTTTCCAAGAAACATAGAAGCTGGCGCTCCCTAGTTCTAAATATTACCCATCAAATAATATGGCATTCATCACCCTGAAGCCTAATCAATCTATAGTGCTATAGGCGAATAAAGCAACTTAGCTAAGGAACATGGGCACATAGGGGCACCATCATGGTGAAATATCTCCATTGATTTTCGTTGGTGGTACCCCCATGGGGCCAACCCGTTCTTGGTTTGTCCGTCCATTGGTTGGTTTCCAACAAGTTGCTTCGCAGAGTTGGTGAAAACAACATCCGGTTCTAGTATCACCTAGTAATGGGGTGGATCAATTATACACAAACCAACGTATTAAATTAAGAATTGAATTCGCGGGTATACGATACATATTATATATATATTATTACATAGTATAATATAATATATATAATATAGAGTATTCTAGAATTCTATACTATTCATGAGGTCAAAAAAGCAGCTTGCAGGTTGACCTTTGCCTTGTTGGTCCGTGATTTCTTTCGCTTCATGGCCTGTATCTGGGCGAAAGACCATGTGGGGGGTGTGGTCCCGCGGTCCCGACGGGGGTTAAATTCTACTGGGGATAGATTTTTCGCTCCGTTTTATGGATGAGGGTAGAGGATGTATAGGAGATAGTTTATGGAATGTGTTTTTCTTTTAACCAACCGTATACACGTATATTTCACCATGTATATGATATCCATGGACTTGTGTGAACATGTGCCTTCCAGTTATTAGCCTTTTTTCAAGTGGGAGAATGATGGCCAAGCAGTGGATTACTCAGACCCAGGGGGTAGTCTAAGACAGACCCAGGGGGTTGGGCTCAGTCCCTTGATTCCAGTACTGTGTGAAGAATGACGGCTGGACAGTTTTTAAAGTTGTGACTTCAGACATGCATCACAGATGATAGTTGGTCATAAGCACTAGTCATGACCCTTGAATCCTTGTTTTGTTCCGCTTGTTTGAAATGGATCATAACGGATCTCTGGAGAAAAAACACAAAAACACCACACCTACCAAGCTTTCTTCTTTGGATGGCCGTCCCACCCAAAGAAATGGTCACTAGAAATGCATAGAAGCTGCTCATATTTTTCGTAATCAATGACTCACCCTCTTGATATGTCTTTTCAGTGTGCCTGCATTCGACCAAACCTCATGCAAGTGATACTGACTGCTTCTTCTGACATGGATTCAGATATTTCCTGAGGAGAGACGAGTCACCCAGTCATTATACCCCGGTCATACTTCCAACAAGCAGGTACGAGTGGATCCATAGTGTTAAATCATATCATCATAACATAGACCCGGGCAAGCCGGCGGCGGAAGTTTCCCAAACATAAATGACCTATAGTTCAAAGACAACCTGTCCCGACCGTGTCCTTCCCTCGACAAGCGGCCTTTTTTTTCAGCGAGAGACGAAGCAAAGTCTTCACACTCCACACTTCACACTGCACCCTTCGCACTCCAAACTTCAAACTTCACACTCCACACTTCACACTTCACAGCCCACACTTCACACTTCTCACTTCTCACTGCTTCCTTCACACTCCAAGCCTCACACTTCACACTTCACACTGCGCTCTTCGCACTCCAAACTTAAACTTCACACTCCACACTCCACACTCCACACTTCACACTTCGCACTTCCCACTTCACACTTCACACTTCACACTGCACTCTTCACGCCCCACACTTCACACTGCTCTAAACGTACGTCCAACAAAAAAAACACTAGTGCCAAAATGGAGAAAATCTGCTAACAAATCCATTTCGCAGCCTTCATGCAGCCACTCCAAGACGATTTCCGAGATCCAGCTGCAAAAGACAATAGTATTACGAATGCAGCCACAGCACGAAGCAACCTTGACGCAGCCATTACAATGCGATCTGCAGAGACTGAGTTGCAAAACACAATAGAACTACGCGCAACGGCGTCGGAAATTGTAGCTCCAAAACCGGATCTCGACGCCAGAGCGAAAAAAAAACGATTTTGAAGCACTTAAAAAAAAAAAATAGAAGGAAACTCACTAGCGCCAAAATGGAGAAAAAAACGCATTTCGTGCGAGACTTCCTTCAAAACTCCATCGGCAACTCATCCACCAGCACCACTTGCAATCCCATTTACATTGCGGGAACGATCCTACAGTTGCAAATCACAATGGAATTCTGTCGACCGCACATGCACGAAAAACAGGTGAAACCCCATTTACAATGCGGAACCGATCCGAGAATGATCCGATCCGACCATGATCCGACCACACACGAGACCGTCTCGCACCCGTCGCACCGCAGAGGTAGATCATCGAGGTTCGGGGACGGACTTTGTATGGAAAAACATAGGGTTTCGTGCATCTGCTATCTCTCAAAAACGCATTTCGTGCGAGACTTCCTTCAAAACTCCATCGGCAACTCATCCACCAGCACCACTTGCAATCCCATTTACATTGCGGGAACGATCCTACAGTTGCAAATCACAATGGAATTCTGTCGACCGCACATGCACGAAAAACACTTGAAACCCCATTTACAATGCGGAACCGATCCGAGCATGATCCGCCCATGATCCGAGCATGATCCGACCACACACGAGACCGTCTCGCACCCGTCGCACCGCAGAGGTAGATCATCGAGGTTCGGGGACGGACTTTGTATGGAAAAACATAGGGTTTCGTGCATCTGCTATCTCTCAAAAATGCATTTCGTGCGAGACTTCCTTCAAAACTCCATCGGCAACTCATCCACCAGCACCACTTGCAATCCCATTTACATTGCGGGAACGATCCTACAGTTGCAAATCACAATGGAACCGTACATGCACGAAAAACACTTGAAACCCCATTTACAATGCGGAACCGATCCGAGAATGATCCGACCATGATCCGACCACACACGAGACCGTCTCGCACCCGTCGCACCGCAGAGGTAGATCATCGGCGTTCGGGGACGGACTTTGTATGGAAAAACACAGGGTTTCGTGCATCTGCTATCTCTCAAAAACGCATTTCGTGCGAGACTTCCTTCAAAACTCCATCGGCAACTCATCCACCAGCACCACTTGCAATCCCATTTACATTGCGGGAACAATTTCTTTGACTAACTCGTTCCCTAACGAACTCTTTCTTTGCTCTTTCTTTGACTAACTCTTTCTTTGCGAACTCTTTCTTTGACTACCTCATATATCCTGACTAACTCTTTCTTTGACTAACTCTTTCCCTCACTAACTCTTTCTTTGACTAACTCTTTCCCTCACTAACTCTTTCTTTGACTAACTCTTTCCCTCACTAACTCTTTCTTTGACTAACTCTTTCCCTCACTAACTCTTTCTTTGACTAACTCTTTCCCTGACGAACTCTTTCTTTGACTGACTAACTCTTTCCCTCACTAACTCTTTCTTTGCTAACTCTTTCTTTGACTACCTCATATATCCTGACTAACTCTTTCTTTGACTACCTCTTCCTGACTAACTCTTTCCCTCACTAACTCTTTCTTTGACTAACTCTTTCCCTGACTAACTGTTTCTTTGCTAACTCTTTCTTTGACTAACTCTTTCCCTCACTAACTCTTTCTTTGACTAACTCTTTCCCTGACTAACTGTTTCTTTGCTAACTCTTTCTTTGACTAACTCTTTCCCTCACTAACTCTTTCTTTGACTAACTCTTTCCCTGACTAACTGTTTCTTTGACTGACTCTTTCTTTGACTAACTCTTTCTTTGCTAACTCTTTCTTTGACTAACTCTTTCTTTGACTAACTCTTTCTTTGCTAACTCTTTCTTTGACTAACTCTTTCCCTGACATTCTAAAAGTCCGTAACACGGAAGTTTCTCCCCCTAAACTTCCTTTGATCATATCATATCGAGATATATCAACTTTGTATATATATATATATACATATAGTTATATAAATATATATAGTTGAATATATTTATATGTATAGAGAGAGTTATACATATAGTAATATATGTTTTAAATAGTTATATAAATAGTTGTTTTTATGTTATATGTATATAATAATATACATATAGTTTTATATATAGTTATACATACATGTAGTTATATATATATAGTTATATATATATAGTTATTATAGTATAGTTATATATATATAGTTATATATATATGTAGTTATATATAGTTATATATATAGTTATATCAACATATATAGACATATATATATATATAGAGAGAGTTATGCATAAAGTTATATATATTTATATAGTTATATAAATAGTTGTTTTTATGTTATATGTATATAATCATATACATATAGTTTTATATATAGTTATATATACATGTAGTTATTTATATATATAGTTATATATATATAGTTATATATATATATAGTTATTTGTATAGTTATTTTGGTATATAGTTATTTATTTATATAGTTATATGTATATAGTTATATATATATATATAGTTATATATACATATATAGACATATATATATACATATAGTTATTTATTTAGATATATATATATATATATACATATAGTTATTTATATAGATATATATATATACATAGTTATATATTTAGTTATATGTATATAGTTATAATGCTATGTCCCATATAAGAAATTCCCATGAATTTCCCGTTGAATTATTAGTTGTTGTTTTTTCATCGCATCCCCAGCTCCAAAGGTAAGCACGGCAGCAAGATCTTCCTGGAAGGCGGCCTCAACGGCAAGCGGATTCAGTGGACAGGTGGCGACCACGAGTTTCGTCTCTGGAGCACCGGTCAGACAGGTCCGTGCTGAGGGGTGCGGAGGGGTGCTGCCCATGTGCCGGGAGATATTCAGTGGTCATCTTAGGTCGGACGTGGAATTGGTAAGTATTATCCCAATCCTAAGATTAAACTAACACTTCCATTTTTTGGTCGCAAATATGTGTAAATCGCGTATTAAACCATGGTTTCTGGAGCGTCTTTTATATTAGGAGGACTGAATTATTTGTATAGGATTCTACTTCAGGAGTCTTCCTAAGTATATTGATCAATTTTTTACGAGTTTTTGGGATTGTATTATTGGTGCCATTACCAAATTTTTGTGCAATTCCCATTTTTTTTGTGTATTTTTCATCATTTTTTGGGGATATAGAAATATCGCAATTGATCCCCAACTGGTGCCATTACCCAATGGACCAATGGGGGGTCGTTTCAAAATCCAGCGGAGCCCCGCGTGGAACGGTCGATACCAAGGGTCGTCCTCGTACATTCTCCTGTGCGAAGCCCTGTTGGTTGAAGTTGACTTCGGGGGTTATACTAACAAATTACGGAAATACCCTCTGGTAAACTACATAACTATGGAAAAACACCATCTTTAATGGGTAAATCAGCTATAAATGGGCATTTTCAATAGCTACAATGTGAGGCCCCCGTTCGATATGTTTGTTGGTTTAGATTCGCCCCAGTAACTATATAGTTATAAATACCATAAACCATAGTGAAATTGGAGTTATGTGGACCCCAACTGAACGCTATCTTGGGGGCCTCACATTGTACAAATTATGTTGGGGATTATCAGAATTCATGACATATCAAATCAATTTGAACTTAGCGATTCAAGCATCTACCCATCAAACATGGTGATTTCATGTGATTTCAGCATCCAAGCATCAAACATACAAGGTGGTGCCCCCGCAGTTATAAGTTGGTTTATAATCCCCATCAACTATAGATATAACCCCCATAAACCCTAGTTATTGGACTTGTAAACCAACATAGCTAATTATGGGGCACCACCTTGTACTGATTTACCATCAAAACATCAAACAGCTATTCAAGCGACACCTGTGAATGTCAGATGCAATTGACCCTTTTTCAGGTTATCCATTGGTGGATGCCAACATGCGCGAGCCTTGGCAGTTTGATACACCACATGTAGACCACGATTGTTTCTATAACTCTTCAGCGGTTCGTTTGGATAATATTTTGTTTTGCCATTGAAAACACATTTGACTATGTTGGGATGTGTTGGGATTTCGCCAGCTAAGCGTACCCTTCATAGTGGTGGTGTGAAGGGGGTTCCCTAGAAAGAAGTCCAGAACATTGATTTAAAATACTCCAAACTCTAAGTTTCAGCATGTCATGAAGTAATTATTCAACATATCAATTTCAAGTTTCAACGTATCATGAACTATTTTGACCCGATATTCACAAAGTATTGATTTCACTATTTCCACAAAATATCGGTAAATATCTGTCAAGATCATGCGTCAAAATGGTACCATTTCATGGCACCATTTTATGGCACCGGTCATCTCAGGAGCTACGAAGCACTGGCTGGATGTCGAACCGTGGACGTCAAAACGTGGCTTCCTTCCTGGTTCTGGACTTGCATGTGGACTGGCGCCGTGGCGCCGTGTCTTGGCAAAATGTCGGCAGCAAGGTGGTGGCTAAAACCTCGAAAAAATGGATGTGTGAAAAATGGGATTTATTTTTCGGTTTGTATGTGTGAAAAATGGTGAAAAAAGGGATTTATAACGGTTTATAGTTTATACAAGGTGGTGCCCCCCAGTTATAAGTTGGTTTATAATCCCCATCAACGATAGATATAATATAACCCCCATAAAACCTAGTTATTGGACTTATAAACCAACTTAGCTAACTATGGGGCACCACCTTGTAGGTGTTTATAGATGTTTATAGCCATTTCTGGCAAGGGGATGCTGGCGAGCACAGTCTTTTTATGTCATGATTTCGTAAGCTTTTCGAGAAAAGCTCTGGGCGATGGGTGGTCGTCTAAGGTCCTATTGCAGCTACCGATTGTTGGAAACAAGTTGTATGTTTGAAGTATGATATGGCAAACCCAACACCATAAACATCCATAAGCCATCTCACTAAACAACTATGACTGGGAGTGCCTTTACATCTTCACAAATACCGGTATAGCCAATGAAACAACCTCTATTGTAGATGGTTCATGATTGGATTTACCACGGAGTGTGGCTTTTTCACGGCCTGCCATGAAAAAAACTCCGCCTGACAATCGAAGTGGCCCAAGAATTTGGTACCCTCACCCGGCCTGGTAAACGTTGCCACAACCAACTGGAAAATCACCATGTTTTTTTTTGTAGCTGGGTAAATCAAGACGTTTTTTTTCTATGGCCATTTTCAATAGCTATGTTTGCTTACCAGAGTGTATCCAGTTGTTAAAAAACGACTACTGTTGATTTACCTTGCAGGCACCGCCATATATCATAAGGTTTGATACAGATACCCTCTGGTTATGACTAACATAGCCATGGAAAATGGCCCATTCATAGATGGTTAACCTATTAAAAATGGTGATTTTCCATGGCTATGCTAAATCACCAGATGGTATATATATATATATATATTATATATATTATATATTATATATATATATGTATGTATGTATAATATATATATATATTTATATTTATATTTATATCACCATTTGTATCTACCGTTCCGAGACTTGCTTGCGCGGCAACCTACAAAGACTCCCTTTGACCCACTCAGTGAATCACGTAGCGGAAAAAAAAAGAACAATCATCATGGCGGTTCAACCAACCCCTCCTAGATTTGAACGCCCCCCAATGATAAGGGCATCTTCAAGGATTACTTCCCAACAACTCCCAGCTTTGGGCTTGACAGCTATCATTGGGTGTCACCTTACAGTTATGGCCCTTTACCAGCTTTAAGTCAGTTATAACCCCATTTATGGAATGATAACCCCGTTTACATCTATTTACCTGGGAAAGGGCATCAACTGGCTTTGACCATCTTTAACCGTATATAGTGATTGCCCCATGAAACAACCACGCCAGGATTGGTTTGAGAGTTATCTCCTCGACTACGATGTCGCCTCTAACTGGACCAACTGGGTCTTTGCCGCTGGTCTCAACGGTCGCGTCAATCGCTTCAACGTGGTGAAACAGTCCAAGCAGCGACTGGTACAGCAAGTCGTGTGGCTTGTGGCAAGGGATGTGATGTGATGTATGTTGATGTCCTTTTCAATGAGTGCAGCCGGTGAAACCCGATTTTTCATCCCCCTAATACATCCTAAAAATGCATATACATCCGCATACACATGAATCTTTGGGACCAAAAATGAATTGATCCACTGCAAAACTAGAGATGGGGTGCATTATTATTATGTAAAATGCATGCTGGGTCGATCCTTACGTTCTCCCCAAGTGACTCCACTAACAGTTGCTCAGGTATGATCCGGATGGTGATTACTTGAGAAACGGAGATTTGCTTCTAGCATGTTTTTTTTTTCTATTGTTTGGCCTCGTGTGGTTTGTTTTGAACCCACAGTTCAGCCAAGGTGGTTTTGAAGGAGCCGGAAGCTAACCCATAGCCCATTTATAGATGATTCATGATGATGTACCTATGAAAACTGGATATTCACATGGTGATTTTCCACTTCACAAACCGTTAAATGGCCAGAGGCTACAACGATCCAAACGATCCAAGTCTGGCCTCCCAGGACATTGGCTCCCGGAACTGCAACATTTGTCCATCGACCACATCCACGAACCCTGGCGCTCCACGGAAGCTCTGAACTATCCAGCACCCTGCGTGGCTCCGGAGCGCTTTGCGGAGAGAAAAGTCAGTCACAACGGCCATGGCCGTGCCGGCTGCAGAAGTGGTGCTATAGGTGAAGATTGATCGGGGCAAATTATGACAACCTCACCGTTCTCCCTGGAATCATGGTCAACATGGGAAATCATCCCCAAATGGCCTTCATAATTTACCCAGATCCAGATCCATTGGTCCGTTTGTTGACATATTTTGATTCGGATGTATGATGCAAAGGGAAAATGATGAGGGATTCTTGCAGCGTATAGACGAGTAGCAGTGAATAGAGAGATATAGGGAGCAACTACTGGAACGATTTGTGCTGAAGATGTTGAAGACTCAGAGACCTTCAACAGAAGAGTCTCACAACATTGCTTAGCATTTCCGACCCAAAGTCAGTTGTTAATGATAGAGAAGGATTTCAAACAGGAGGGCAATGATTTGTGAGATATCTACAACTAAACTGTTTGTCTCACGAGTACTTTTCCAGCGACTGATACAGTCTTTGCGACGGGTCAATGGTCAATGTCCGTGGTCCGTGTCAGAGACTTGCTGATTCTGACACAAGATATTCATGTCATGTCTGCCATGTGGTTAAAACAATGTCACAAATTACCTATTTGGGAATGGTAAACATACGACCTACATAAACATGGTGATGACTGGGTGGATGGTTTTTAACATTGTTTTAACCACAATTAAGTCTAATTCATCGGGTTTTTTTCCTCACCAGTTTGAGGGAACATGATCTCCCAAGGTGCTCTTAAGTTGTTTTCGTAAAACTTGTGAAATTAAAAGTTGGTTGGCGTGTTTAAAAAAGGAGTGTTAAGTACACCTTTATTGTTGGTTTATGATGATTTATTCAATGGCAACTCCAGGATCCTAAATTGGAGGTACCTACCATATCTAAGGTCTATGTAAGGCCTATATGTAAGGGAATTTCCCCACAAAATATGGCCTTATATGGTACAGTACCTCCATTTTAGGATCCTGAAATTACCGTTGATTTATGGATATGTTTGGAATACGTTTGATGTGGAAGATTTATTATATATACCTCCGCAGATCCAGACGAAATCGCCTGATGCTCCGACTGTTATAAACACGTCAGACGGGGCGTTCTTTGGCGATTTACCAACGGCTTCTTTGGGGGCAGCCTTTTTTTGATGGGTCGAAGGATATCACATCCCTATGAAACATTATCTTTTTTGCGAAGATCCACAACAATCCACAGAATCCCTCCCTATGGATCCAGTCGCCTTAGAAGGGACGAAGGGATCCCCAGTCACCATACCCCAGTCCGAACCTTCCGAAGCAGTACGGTACGGTTGGATCTATAGGGCTACTAGTCCACAATCATGATATATCATGATCATATCCTTGTGGAATTTACATTCATATCAACCAGAAAGGATAATATCCATAAGGATTTTTAGATTATTGTCTCATAGATATATTATCATGATATATCATGATAATATCATTTTAGATCCATAAAATATCATAAAATCACAGTAATATTCCATGACAACCTTCATTTCATTTACTCATGCATTACATTATCATCATGATCCATGACATCCTGAACATCATGACAATGTTTTGAAATAAATCGACGATACAGATACAAAATTATAGTAATCATCCAATGATCATCAAATAATTATCAAATAAGATGAATCATTGGATTATGTGATTTATTGTCATTGTTGGACATCCATTTATCGTAATCATTGTTAAATTATCGTAAACATCAAATAAGATGAATCCATATCCAATAATAACCATAAAGCACAATATTCAATGGGAATTCCAGGATCCTAAAATGGAGGTACTGTACCATATAAGGCCATATTTTGTGGGGATATTCTTGTATATGGTAGGTACCTCCAATCAATCGGATCCTGAAATGGCCATTGAAATCTGATCATTTCCCTCTGCGTAAAAATCCATGTCTCTTTCGGGTCGTGTTTTTTTTTTAAGGCATTGGCACAAGGCAAGAAGCTTCGCAGCCGGGGCTCCCAGTTGGCATGTCCCCCTTTGGGTTTAGGACCTAACGATGCTGGATTTTGGTGGGGCGGTTTACTGGAGGGTAAACTCGTGATTTTGATGGAGAATTTGACAATAAGGATACAATTGGTGATTTTCACCATCGTGGGATCTAGGCAAGAATCATTTAGTCTTGGCGTCACCAGTTGGTGAGGGGTGGGTTACTAGCTTGAGCCATTCAATATACTGGGAGGTTTACAAATTAACATAGGCGGTATATAAATAAACAAGAAAGTTGGGTAAACTAGAGTCCTTGGTGAAGAGAAGGTGCTTTCATATTTTTTTTTGTAGTCTGTATCTGGAGGTTTCCTAAAATGGGGGTACAAACGGATGGTTTTTCTAATGGACAATCCTAAGATGGACTATTTATGATTATTTCGGTTATGAAACCTCCACATGTATGATAAATGGGAATTTCAGGATCCTAAAATGGAGGTACTGTACCATATAAGGCCATATTTTGTGGTGATATTCCCTTACATAGGCCTGAAAATATGCCTTATATATGGTAGGTACCTCCAATCAATCGGATCCTGGAATTCCCATATTGATATGATGAAAGCTGAGCTCATGCTCCCCAAAGGGGCCTACTTCTGACTCAGTCTGCGTGGAATCCGGGAATCTCCCAATTAATCAAGGCTAGTCACGTAGGATCCTACGTGTTCAACGGCATTGTTTGGCCCTGGTGGAAAGGTCACCCTGCTACCCTCTGGTAATGACCAACATAACGAACTGGAAAGATCCATCATGCTATTAATGGGTAAATCCACGATTTCGACTGGGCCATTTTCAATAGCTATGTGAATGTTTACCAGAGGGTACTATCTTTCATCACTTATCGATGAGTGAAGCAATTCTGCTACTACCACTCACTGGGATAGGTCTGAATTTGAGCAGATGATAACAGAAACTGTTGTTTCATGATACTTGGGTTCTTTTTTGGTTCCAGTAGATGAACTTATCAAAGCATGAGTGTGCGTGATTTTGTACCTTGGTTGCCCCATCATGCTGAAGTGAATTTACGCACCAGAATTCACGGGTTTTGGCTCAAGAAGAAGTCTCGAACATGTATATGGGTCGACAAATACGTAGAACATCATGTGGAAAACCCTTCTCGACATTTAACAGGTTAGACGTTCTAAGTATGAAGTCGGGCAATCATACTTAGAACACAAAAATTCCATACTTAGAACATCAGTTTGTACATGATGTTCTAAGTATGTGCCCGCTATACTAAAAGTAATGGAGAAACGCGGGGTGAGTATAGGAATGTTTCAAACCAGTTATTTAAGCTTTGATGTGCGTAGAACAGAATGTGGACAAACCATATTTTCAGTGAGATACTCAAACCATTTCCACATGCCCACAGCTAGGTGGTACAGTCTACACCTAGAACATCACTATGCACCATGACGGATCTAACTGCACGATTCTTGATACGCGGAGAGATGCGTAGAGTCTACAGTACCCTCTGGTAAACAAACATGGCTATTGAAAATGACCTAAATATTTATAGTGGATTTACCAATTAAAAACGGTGATTTTCCATAGTTACGTTAATTTACCAGAGTCTATTTGGTTGAAAAACTGTAGTGCAGTGCAATTTACAATGATTTTACAATGATGCCCGCAGGTAGCTGGCAGAGTATACACTTAGAACATCCCAAATTGTGTTTTTAAAGATCTAGGCTCGAGCAAGAGGAGAAAAGAAAGTCCGGGAAATCTCCCTGGATGTATGTGCAGGTGGGTGTTTTTTGAATTTCCAATTATTTCTCCTCATCCGGAGAGACACTTAGAACATCAGACCACTTTTTTCCCTGTCAAAATGCATGTCTTATGTGTTGATGTTCTAAGTGACGGATTTCTTGATTTTTTGATGTTCTACTAGTAAGTAATATACTGAAGGCTTCTAGTTTCATGCATATACATATACTTGTATAATTTGTATAATTTTGCACGATCCTGTAGATACACTATCAATGATATATAATATGGTATGGTCGCAATTGAGGAGCGAGCAATCCCTTGTTGATCTATTGTAATCTGGAAAAATCGAATTGGTAGATGTGATACATTGTGATACAATTGTAGCATTTAGAAACTATAACTGGCTTATAACCTCATTTAAGTGATATGTCAGCCTAGTTGCAGGAGTCGTTTAGTCCCATTTATAACAGTCTTTCAGGGCCGTAACTGTCCTGTCATAGATTCCACAGAGCCAGCGGGCAGTGATGGTTGCCCTGTTCGGAATCGCAAAGTTGGCTTATAACATCTTATAACTATAGGTTAAGTATAGGGTTTATATGGGTTTATGTTGATGAAGAATACATTTGATGGGGTTTACAAACCAACTTAAAGCAACTTAAAACCAAGGGGCGCATGTTGGTCTCCAAACCTGGAGGGGCACTGATCAAGCTCGTGCGAGCGGCGGCAGCTCCTGCTCTGGGCAATTGCGCATTCACACCCTGCATTCGACTGTCGCACCTTGCAGACTTGCGAAGGAGCCAATGAGGAAGCTTCAGGATCAGGATTCCACCATCAGGCAGCTCCGTCCAAGTTTGTTGTGGGAATATGAGCGTGGAAAAAGCGATGTTTTTTGATGAATTAAAACATCATACATCGTTGTTTGTTCGGCTTGCGCAGCGTTCCTGCCCCCGCAGTGCAAATTGTGCTCACAATCCTGAGCCCCAAGCGGCGCACGTGGGACCTTTAAGTTTTCGCTGGGCTGCTTTTGACGCAACCGTGCCTCAAGGGAAGCAACCGCATGGTGATGCCTGCAGGTTTGCAAGCTTGATGTTGCTGAGCTCCATTGCCTCAAGCTAAGGTTTGCACCACATCCAGCAAGCTTTGGAAATCGCTCAAGAGGCGGCTCTGGGACCATGTTGTGTCGCTATCCGCATCAAAATTATGATCAAGAATCATGGACATTGTGATGCAATCATTGCATTCACTGAACTTGAGTTCATTCACGCGACTTCAGAATGTCAATGGGTAGGTTGAATGGAGCTTGCGTGCATCCAAACAGTTCAAACCAAACCTCA